CAAACTGCAACCGAGGTACATGCCCTTAGCGGGAACCGAACCCGGGTCTCTCTGGACCGCAGGCCAATGCTCTAACCGCTGAGCCAAACCGGCCAGGGCGGGAAGTAGTATTTCTACTGAAGATTAATATACATGAAAAAGTGCAAAATGTACACAGCTCTGAATTTTCACAAACTGAATGCACCTGTTTCACCAGCTCAGATAGGTGTCTTGTTTTATTCTTTATAACAGAATCAATACAACTTAAGTTAGGGGGAAAAAAGAGAAAATACACATAATTAAAAGTAAAGACAAAAAAAGGAAACAGAAAATACATAAAACAAACCCACTCATAATCCTTTATCTATAGGCAACTACAATGGACAATTAGGGCATATCCACACAGACTACTTTCTTTTTTTTTTTTTTTTTTTTTAATTAAATTTATTGGAGTGACATTGTTTAGTAAAATTATATAGGTTTTCAGGTGTACAATTCTACAGACTTCCTAGTAAAAACATAAACATGTATATGATACTTTCCTATAGCATATTTTTATTATATATGCTTTTTAAACACTGTTCATGGTAAGAAATACCTATGTTAATTATTTTTGTGATGTGTGTTTCATTGAAAGGCTGTATCATAATTACTTTAACCAAATATTTAGAAACAGCGTCTGCAATGATCTATCTCTCTTCAATGTATAGCTTCATGCTCTTTGACAATGATTTTCTTAGTTAAATTACTATGAATTCATATTAATATATGTCCTATTTTTTCCATTGCTTTCTCCTCTGCCCCACACTCTGCTCAGTCAGGTACAAAATATTAACAATCTCATGGGCCCTGGCCAGGTAGCTCAGTTGATTAGAGCGTCGTCCCCATACCCTGAGGTTGCGGGTTTGATCCCTGGTTAGGGCACATACAAGAATCAGCCAATGAATGCCTAAATAGGTGTTTCTCTCTCTCTCTCTCTCTCAAATCAATTTAAAAAAAAATCTTGCCTGGCCCGTGTGGCTCAGTGGTTGAGTGTCAACCCATGCACCAAGAGGTCGATTCCTGGTCAGGGCACATACCCAGTTTGTGGGCCCAATCCCCAGTGGGGGGCATGCAGGGGGCGGCCAATCGATGTTCTCTCTCATCGATGTTTCTATCTCTCTTTCCCTCTTCCTTTCTCTCTCTCTAAAAAAAAAAAAAATCTTGCCCTGGCCGGTTTGGTTCAGCGGTTGGAGCGTCGGCCTGCGGTCCTGAGAGATCCGGGTTCGGTTCCCGCTAGGGGTGCGTACCTCGGTTGCAGTTTGTCCCCAGCCCTGGTCGGTTGTGTGGGTGGCAGCCACTTGATGTGTCCCTTTCGCATCGATGTTTCTCTCTCTCTCTGTTCCTCTCTCTCCCTCCCACTCTACCTGAACAAAAAATGGAAAAATGTCCTCGGGTGAGGATAAAAAAAAAAAAAAATCTTGCCCTGGCTGGTTTGCTAAGTGGTTAGAGCATCGGTCCACGGACCAGAGAGACCCAGGTTCGGTTCCTGCTAAGGGCACGTACCTAGGTTGCAGTTTTTCCCCAGCCCCGGTTGGGGTTGTGTGGGTGGCAACCACACATGTCTCTCTCACATTGATGTTTCTCTCTCTCTCTTCCTCCCTCTCTCTCGCCCGCTCTATCTGAGGATAAATGCAAGAATGTCCTTGGGTGAGGATAAAAAAAAAATCTTTCCCTGGCTTTTGTGGCTCAGTCAGTTGGCGCACCCTCATGGAAACCAAAAGGTCGCAGGTTCTATTCCCAGTCAGGGCACACACCTAGGTTGTGGGTTGGATTCCTGGTGGGGGCAGATATAGGACAACCAGTTGATGTTTCCTCTCAGGCCGAAGGTGAGAGGTGGAGAAGAGGCTGCGCCCTGCCCAGCTCCCTCTCTGCCAGGTGTTCGGACTATAGTGCTGAGCTCCTCTACCGAAGGCCCCACTCTTGTTGGGTGGCTACACCCTCCCTGGGTTCTGAAACTACCCCAGCTCCTGGGGGTGGGGTCTGACTACTCAGGTTGTGGGTCCCAGGCGGTTTTATTATTACTTATTTGCTCCCTTAAGCTTGCCTGTGACTGTAAATACCCCTTTCATGAGGTTACTGATTCGATTCCTGGTCAGGGCACATGCTGGGGTTTTGGGCTCCATCCCTGGTAGGGGGCATGCAGGAGGCAACCAATCAATGTTTCCCTCTCCCATTAATGTTTTTCTCTCTTTCCTCCTCTCCCTTCTTCTCTCTCTCTCTAAAAAAAAAAGGAAAAATCAATTAAATTTTTTTTTAAATAGCCCTTTCAGTGCCCTGGCCTGTTTGGTTCAGAGGTTAGAGCGTCGGCCAGCGGTCCAGAGAGACCTGGGTTTGGTTCCCGCTAAGGGCATGTACCTCGGTTGCAGTTTGTCCCCGGCCCTGGTTGGGTTGTACGGGTGGCAGCCACTTGATGTGTATCTTTCATGTCGACGTTTCTCTCTCTCTCTCTTCCTCTCTCCCCTCCCACTCTGTCTGAACAAAAAAAAGGGGGGGGTAAAATGTCCTCGGGTGAGGATAAAAAATAACATAAATAGCCCTTTCAGTAAATACTCTTTAAATATCCTTCTGAGTGTACCAGCTCTTTCGTGATAGGACCTTGAACTGATTCAGTAACTAATTTAAAATTCCAAAAAATTCTTGTGAGCCAGCTGCCACAAGCTTGCCACCAATTTGGACTTTGAAGTCCAGCCCCTTGGTATGTAGATGCAGGAGCAGAGGTAACTGACTTGCCAGTCTGCCTGCTCCTAGGCCAGGGTGGAGGGGAAATATGGAAAGTTTGCTGAGTCCTGAGGGCAGGCAGTATTAATGATCACATACCAGGTCTTCCTGGGGGAGCTGTAGCCTCCTGGCTCTCTTTCCCAATTCCAGGTCTCTTGGCCTCCCTCTCCTTCTGAAATAGAAATGAGCACGATATGGGTGTTTGGGAAGAGGCAAACAGTTTAAGTTCTTTGCGATCTTGGCATCTTTGTAAAACAAAGGCTTTGTGGGTAGTCCGGTGGTCCCTGCAGGTAAGATGAGCTGGAATGAGGAAAGAGCAATGATTGTTCTCTTAGCCGGTTCGCTTAGAATCCCGTTGAACACGGACTCCCTCGAACATTGGAAGATAAGCCTCAGGCAGAGTGCTTTGAGTCCTCAGTGGGAGACGCACAGATACACATGCACTTACAATACCAGGTGAAAAGTGCAGTAAATAACCCAGCGTTGGGGCGGGTTGGAGATGATTCTCAGGGGAGGTAATGTTTGAGTTTATTGAAGGAGGAGCTGAAATCAGCCTGGCCTGAGATGATGTCCTAGAGAAGGGATAAGACAAGCAATGAATGTGCCAGAAGCTCCTAGGAGCTCAGTGTGGCTGGAACCTAAGTTGTGTGTGTTGAGGGTTGTGTGTGGGTGGGTGTGAAAGGCAAGCAGGCATCAGAAGGGCCTTGAAAGACAAAAGAAGGGTGCTAGGCATCGAAAGCTTTTCAATAGCAGAGTGACAGTGTTGCTCCGTGAGTAGGTGCTGCTGGCTGCTGTGTGAACAGATAAAGAGGGCATCCCAGAAGCTGAGGTCACTGCAATCTGAGAAAGGACGGGGGTGGTGGGATGAGAGGAGAGCTGGGGGCGATGGATGGCTTTGAAAGCTATAAAGGCAGGAGAAGGAACAGGATCTAGGGTTATCATAATAACAACAACATTGACAATAACAACATAATATCATGACTTAAACAATTGCTCTGGTTTCAGACTGCATAGGTGAGACTCTTCTCCCCACCCTTTTTATCTGGAAAAATTCCAAACCTCAGAAGAGTTGCAAGATAGTTTCCATGAACATTCATATACCTTTCACCTAGATTTACCTATTGTTATATGTTACCTCTATCGTCACCCCTCTCTATCTCTCTTTATATGTGTGTGTGTGTGTGTATTGCTGCTTTTCCTGAACCACTTATGTATTTGTTGCAGAAATCATGACACTGTACCTCTAAATACTTCAGCAGTCATCTCCTTTGAATAAGGAGATTCTCTATATAATCATAACGCTGTTGTCTTACTGAGGGAATTAACATCAATACACTATAATCTGAAATAAAGTCCATATTCTAATTTCCCCAGTTGTCCCAAGAACGTCCTTTACAGCTTTTATTTATTTTATATTTTGAGGGGAACCAGGATCCAATCAAGGAGCACATGTTGCATTTCATTGTTGCATCTCTTGGCCTATTTCGCAACGCTGACCTTTTTGAAGAGTTCAGGCCGGTTGTTTTGAAGAATGTTCCTCAGTTTTACGTGTTTGTTTTCCATGATTGAATTCAGGGTAAACATGTTTGAATCCTACATAAGTGATGGTGTGTCCTTTTCAGTGCAAACTATTAGGGAGTACACCAACCACTAAGCCACACTGGCCAGGCTCACCAATACTATTTTTACCAAAATTTATAGAGACCTTAATATGTGACAGGCAGAGCCCAGCACTCAATTCTTTACCCCTCCAGCACCCAGGACAGTGTTTCGCACAAAAGAGACATTCAATCAATATGTGTTGGCAAAACATCAGCTCTATGAGACAGATTTCTACTGATATGGACCCAGTATACAGGTGAGAACACTGAGGCTCAGAGAAGTGAAGTAATTTGCCCAAGGCCACGACATTGCAGCGAGCGGCAAGAGCTTTGGATTTGAACCCAGGCTTGTCGTTTGTAAGAAACGAGGGATTCCAGGAATATGAATGTGTTTTGCAAACCCTCCAGCGGGTTGGGGGGCTCTCGCACACACAGTAAATGTTAGTTGAATGAATGAGAACGGAAAAGGAGTCAACTGGGGACAGATCAACTTGCCCTCGTCCGGGCCAGCGCTGCGGGGTACAGGGAACCGTCCTTGCGCTACTGCCGGAAGTGGAGGCACCACGAGCCCACGTGTTCCAGCGGGGTGTGGCGTCCGCCGGCCCCGCCCACCGGCGAAGCCACGCCCCTCGCGCTCGCCGCCGCCGGCCGCGGTGTTTTGGCCCGCGGGCGGAGCCGTAGCCGTAGTCCCCTCGGGGGTCCGCAACCCGGAAGCCGAGTGTCGGAAATCCCGGGCCGCGGTCCAAGATGTCGGAGAAGGAAAGTGGGGCGAGCGGGGGCTCCCCGCAGGCCAGCGCGGTGACTGTCAGCGATGTCCAGGAGCTGGTACGACGCAAGGAGGAGATCGAAGCGCAGATCCAGGCCAACTATAGCTTGCTGGACAGCGTGAGTGGGGCTCGGGGCTCGCGGGCGGCGTGGGGCCGCCCCCAGGCCTCGGCCTCGCCCCCGGCCCGGAGCACCGGGGGCCCGGGCGGCCGCCGCGGCGGCGCTCAGCCGTGGACCTCGGCGCCCTGGGCAGCCAAGGCGCCGCAACGGCGGCCTCTGCCGGCAGCAGAGAGGCGAGCTCCGCCGAGACCCGGGGACAGGATGGCCGTCTTCCCCGCGGAGCCCCGGCTGCCTGCCGGGCGGTTTCACCGGCTTTCATTGCACCGTGAGCTCATCTTATCCTCGCAGCAGCCCTTGGCGGCTGAGCTCTGTTATTCCCCCCACTTTAGGGAGGAGGAAACTGAGGCACCACTTAACGGAGACCCGCCTCTGGTCACAGCTAAGAAGTCTGCAGGGGCCGGGTGGTTGCTAATCACCACGCTCGTCGGTCTTGTTGGACGTTGACCAGGTGTTCTGTGTTTTGCTAACCATTCTGATGGGGGGGGGGGGGGCACCCCGAGCAGATGCTGCGTTTCTGGCAAGTTATTAGCGATGCTGATGCTACTGGTCAAAAGACCGGGCTGTGAGTGACAGTGAAGGCTCATTATCCTTATTGTATAAAGGGGACACTGAGGCCCAGAGTGGTGCACACCCTGGCCAAGGGTCATGTAGCTAAGAAGTGGTGGGGCTAGTTTTCTGTCTGGCTCCAAAACGGATAGTTTTTCATGAGCCACCTAGTGTAAAACCACACGTCAGTTTGCAGAGAAAGTAAGTTAATTACATCCTACATAGGGCGGATGGAGTGAATGTATTTTATAATGGGAGTAAGATGAAGTAGCAGATGGAGGCCAGAGTAGCATTTTACTGGGTGGGAACTGTATATGCCTGCAGGGTGCTCCTCTATGAATCCAGAACCTATGCTTTCAAGTGTTATGCCAGCAATTTCTTGTTAATCCTCACCCGAGGATATTTAAAACAAATTTTTTCCATTGATTTTTAGAGAGAGTGGAAAGGAGAGAGAGCGAAACATTGACATGAGAGAGAAACATCCATTGGCTGCCTCCCATACACGCCCAGACAGGGGTTGGAACGCACAACATAGGCATGTGCCCTGAATGGGAATTGAATCCACAACCTTTTGGTGTATGGGATGATGCTCCAACCAACTGAGCCTCCCAGTCAGGGCTCCCATTATGTTTTTCTTTAAGTTGACCTACTTTTTTACTTAAATACATTTATTTTTTTTTGTTTTTCATTTTATCCTCACCTTTTTATTTTATTTATTTATTTTTTTATTATTATTATTTTTTTTAATCCTCACCCGAGGACATTTTTGCATTTTTTGTTCAGACAGAGCGGGAGGGAGAGAGAAGAAGAGAGAGAGAGAGAAACATCGATGTGAAGGGACACATCGAGTGGTTGCCACCCGCACAACCAACCAGGGCCGGGGACAAACTGCAACTGAGGTACGTGCCCTTAGCGGGAACCGAACCCAGGTCTCTCTGTACTGCAGGCCGACGCTCTAACCGCTGAGCCAAACCGGTCAGGGCTCACCTTTTTATTTTTATTTTTCCATTTTTTGTTCAGATAGAGTGGGAGGGAGAGAGAGGAAGAGAGAGAGAGAGAGAAACATTGACGTGAAAGGGACACATCAAGTGGCTGCCACCCGCACGACCAGCCAGGGTCGGAGACAAACTGCAACCGAGGTACGCGCCCCTAGCAGGAACCGAACCCGGGTCTCTCTGGACCGCAGGCTGACACTCTAACCACTGAGCCAAACTGGCCAGGGCTTAAATACATTTATTTTTAAAGAAAATTTTATAGTTCTACACCATGTGAAAAAAATGAGAATTACTTCCCTTAAATATAAGGTAAAAAATGTACACCATGATGATCCATACAAATGATGAATAGATAATAAAATGTGATCTATCCACACAGTGGATGTTATTCAATAAAAAGGAGCGAAGCACTGGCACCTGCTACAATGTACATGAATCTTGAAAACATGATGCTGAGTGAGAGAAGTTCATCACAAAAGACCACATGTCTTATGATTCCATTTATATGAAATGTCTAGAATAGGTAAATCCATAGAGACAGGAAGTAGCTTTGTGGTCGCTAGGGGTTGTGGGAAGGGGAGAGTGGGAATGGATGCTAACAGGTCCAGGGTTTCTTTTTGGAGGATGAAGAAAATGTTCTAAAATCGATTGTGGTGCCCTAGCTGGTTTGGCTCAGCGGTTAGAGCATTGGCCTGCTGACCCAAGGGTTGCGAGTTCAATTCCCAGTCAAGGGCATGTACCTGGGTTACACGTTTGATCCTCACTCTGGTCGGGGTCGTGCAGGAGGCAACCAGTTGATGTGGCTCTATCACATCGATGTTTCTCTCTGTCTGTCTTTCCCTCCCTCCTACTCTATCTGATGATAAATAGAAAAATATCCTCAGGTGAGGAATAAAAAAAAAAGAAACATAATAAAAAATACATAACATTGATTGTGGTGATGGTTGCACACTAGGAGTATGCTAAAAAACCATTGAATTACACACTTTTTTTTTTCAATCCTCACCCGAGGACATTTTTCCATTTTTTTGTTCAGATAGAGTGGGAGGGAGGGGGAGGGGAACATCGACGTGAAAGGGACACATCGAGTGGCTGCCACCCGCACGACTAACCAGGGCCAGGGACAAACTGCAACCGAGGTACATGCCCTTAGCGGGAACCGAACCCGGGTCTCTCTGGGCCTCAGGCCGATGCTCTAACCGCTGAGCAAAACTGGCCAGAGCGAATTATATACTTTAAATGGATGGATTGTATGGTATATGAGTTATATCTATTTTATTATTTTTTTTAATCCTCATCCGAGGACATTTTTCCATTTTTTGTACAGACAGAGTGGGAGGGAGAGAGAGGAAGAGACAGAGAGGGAAACATCGATGTGAAAGGGACACATCGAGTGGCTGCCACCCGCACGACCAACCAGGGCCGGGGACAAACTGCAACCGAGGTACATGCCCTTAGCGGGAACCGAACCCGGGTCTCTCCGGACCGCAGGCAGACGCTCTAACCGCTGAGCCAAACCGGCCAGGGCTGTGAGTTATATCTAAATAAAGCTGTTAAAAACAAACTTGAGAGGAAACAGTCTGTATAACCCAGAAGCTTCCAGAGAGAAAGAGAGGGAAGAGAATGGAATCCCTCCACCCAGTACCTGTGTACACGGGGCCCTGTGTCTGTGCTGACTAGTAATTAGAGCATCATGCCTTCATTTATTACTATCATTAATTTCCTAGAGCCGCCATAACAAATGACCACGAACTGGGTGGCTCAAAACAACAAATTTATTCTCTCTCAGTTGTGGAGGTCAGAAGTTCATTAAGTCTAAAATCGAGGTGAAGGCAGGGTTGGGTCCTTCTGGAGGCCTTGAAGGAGAATCCCTTCCATGTCTCTCCTAGTTGCTGTTGGCTGCTGGCCATCCTTGGATTGTAGCTGTATCACTCCAGTCCCTGCCCTCTGTCTTCACATGGCCTTCTCTCCCTGTCCCAAACATCTTTCTCCTTTCTCTGATAAGGATACCCGTCATTGGATGTAGGGCCCACCCTAAATCTAGGATGATCTCAGAGATCCTTAATTACATCTGCAAACATCCTTTTTCTTTCAAAATATTTTTTATTGATTTTTTTTAGAGAGAGAGGTAGAAACATCTGTGAGGGAGATACATCGGTCGGCTGCCTCCTGCACGTCCCCCACTGGGGATCGATCCCGCAACCCAGGCATGTGCCCTGACCTGGAATCAAACTGGGACCTCTCAGTCCATGGGACGACGCTCAACCCACTGAGCCAAACCAGCTGGGCCAAAGATCCTTTTTTCAAATAAGGTCACATTCATAGGTTCTGGGTTAGGATTTGGACATACCTTTTGGGGGCTGCTGTTCACCCCACTTTGCATGTTCCTGACACTGCGCTGAGCACTCTATATGGATCAGTTCATTGATTCTCACGGTAGGTGGGAAGGGAGGGAGTAGCATCATTCCCATTTTGTAACTGAGGGAGCTGAGACTGAAAGAAGAAGGTCTTAACCCAGATTGTACGCGACAGGACTGAGACCCCATCAGAGGCTGTCTGGCTGCAGACTCCCTGCCCTACATCATCAGTGTACAACACGTTCCGTTCCGTTGCTCTTGCACACCATGCTCTAACTTAGGTAGGGAAAGGCTTCAGAATGTTAAAACAAATGTATTGATTCAAATAGAGAATACAGTCCCATGGTCCAGATCAAAGGATGTAAAATAAAACTCTCTCCCTCGCCTGTCCCCCAGCCAGCCACTTCCTCTCCCTCGTGGGCAATTAAGTGGTGGTATCAGTGTATCCTTCCAGGAGTGAAAGCCACTTTGAAAGCCCTTTTAGATCTTTTTTTACATTCAGCAGAATCAAAGTTCTGCCACAGCTGGGTGCTTTCGGGGGTTTTCCACTCCCCTCCAGCTTCCAAGGCTGTTAGCCAGGTGTCAGCTGCCCGTAGGAAGGAGGGTTTGGAGGAGGCAGAGGAGGCTGGCCCGGGGATTCGTCCTCAAAGGAGCCGCTCGTTTTATCTGCACAATTCCAACTTCAAAAAAGGGAGAACGATTTGTGCGAGACTCGTGTTATCAAAAATTCATTTAAAAAATAGTGCCCACCTCAGAGGGCACTTGTGAGAGGACGTGGGTAACAAAGCTGGTCTGTGCCAAGTGGTCAACAGATGGAGCTTTTGTTACTGTCGCCTTTGTTATGACGGCAAAGGAAAAGGGCCTGGGGAAAGGGGCCTGGAGGACTTCGTACCGGTGCGATTTTTTTCCATCCACGTGTCTTCTCTCCAGCTAAAAGGTGTTGGGATGAATGAGCCCCTGGTGGACTGTGAGGGCTACCCCCGGTCAGACGTGGACCTGTACCAAGTTCGAACCGCCAGGCACAACATCGTCTGTGAGTGACCCCCGGGACCCCACCTTGCCGACGGGGACGTTAAAGGCACGCAGATGAAATCGCCAGTATTCCTGTCATCTGCTTCCCTCTCTCTGCCTTGGCAGGATTATTTCCTGGGGGGATGAGAACTCGGAATGGGTTAAAACTCATTTTGTTTATAGTTTCATTTTGTTTTTATGAATTTTACTTCATTGTGGAAACTTGAGTGAAATAACAATAGAAATCCAAGTCAAACATTGCTCACGATCCTGATCAAATCAATTATGTGTTAGGAATTATGTTTCGCTGCTACAGGTCATGACCCTGGAATGGAGGGAGAATAGAGGTGGGGTAGTGTATTAGTTTTCTGTTTTTGATATAACAAATCGTCGCGAACATAGTTGCCTAAAACATCACAGACTGCCCTGGCCAGTGTGGCTCAGCAGTTAGAGCGTTGGCCCACAGACCAGAGAGTCCCGGGTTCAGTTCTTGCTAAGGGCACGTACCTCAGTTGCAGTTTGTCCCCGGCCTGGTTGGGGTCGTGTGGGTGGCAACCACTCGATGTGGGGGACGCATTGATGTTTCTCTCTCTCCCTCCCACTCTGTCTGAAGATAAATGCAAAAATGTCCTCGGGTAAGGATTAAAAAAACAAAAGACAAACAAAAAAACGCCACAGACTTGTTATCTCACAGTTCTGGAGGTGAGACGTCCAAATGAGTCTCACTGCACTAAGGTCAAGGTGTCAGGCAGGGCTGTGGTCCTTCTGGGGGCTCAAAGGAGAGCCCGTTGGCTTGTCTTTCCAGCTTCTAGAGGCCGCCCGCGTTCCTTGCTTTGTGGCTCCTTCCGTCTTCACAGCCAACATTGTAGCTCGCTCTCTGCCTCCCTCCTTCTCTAATAGTGATTGTAGTGGGTAACCCCGGGTGCTCTCCGTCTCAGAGTCCTACACTCCATCACACTTACAAAGTCCCTTTCGCCACGTAAAATAGCACAGTCACAGGTTCCGGGGATGAGGACGCGAACATCTGCGGACCATGATTCACACTGCCGCAGCTGGGCAACCAGCTGGCCACCACCAGGTCACACGAGAAGGGAATTGACGTCCACGGTTTCCGCTTACTGACTTCTCTTACCTGTTTGAAGCATGAGTCCATCTGAGCGTGTTTTGGTAAAGGCTGAGCATGTAGGAAGCACGTGTTTGATATTCACTGAGTGAACATGGGAGTTTTGTGTCCTCGGCTGTCGTCCTGGGTCCCGATACGGTTTTCTCCTCCCAGGCTTGCAGAACGATCACAAGGCGGTGATGAAGCAGGTGGAGGAGGCCCTGCACCAGCTACACGCTCGGGACAAGGAGAAGCAGGCCCGGGACATGGCTGAGGCCCAGGAAGAGGCCATGAGCCGCAACCTGGGCCAGAGTGAGGGCCTCAGCCCCCCTCAGGCCTTTGCCAAAGTGAACAGCATCAGCCCTGGCTCCCCCGCCAGTGTCGCGGTAAGCCAGCGCCCTGCCACCCACATCTGCACACGGGGTGCTGTCGGTCAGGTAGCCTTGGGGTGTGGGTCGGGTGGGCAGGGGAGGACTGTGTGAAGATGGACCCATGCTCTCTCCATGCTGCACCTGTCTTCACTTACTCATTCAGCACACACTGTTGGGGGCCCAGCCCTGTGCCCGCACCGGGGTTTCAGCCCCTGCTGCCTGCTCAACTGGTCAGGGAGAGACTTGGGGACACAAGGTAGGGGTGGTCAATGTCCCAAGAGAAGAACAGAGGATATTTTCCTAGGGCTCATTTAGCTGGCCACTCACTAATCACTAATAGACACCAGAACAGCAACAGCTGCCGTTACCCAGCCCTTGCTTGTCACCGTGTCCTGCCAGATGAGCTGCATCCTACCCGGTGTTTTCAGATGTTTTAAACAGCTTTATGGAGATATAATTCACATATCGTAAAATTCAGCTGCTTAGAGTACACAATTCTGTGGCTTGTAGTGTATTTACAGAGCTATGTATCTGTCTTAGAGAATTTTCATCACCCTAGAAAAGAGGCAATTCCCCCAACCCCCATCTTCCCCAGCTCCTGGCAACTGCCAGTCTGCTTCCTGTCTCTATGGACTTGCCTATTCTGGACATATCATACAACAGAATCATGCAATATGTGGTTCTTTATGTCTGGTTTCTTCTACTTATATCATGTTTTCAAGACTCATCCATGTTGGAGCATGTATCTCTATTTCATCTTTTTTTTTTTTTTTTTAATTTTTTCCCCTTTATTGATTTTAGAGAGAGAGGAAATGAGAGGGAGAGAGAGATAGAAACATCAATGAGAGAGAACATTAGTTGGCCGCCTCCTACATGCCCCCCACTGGGGATTGGGCTGACAACCTAGGCATATGTCCTGACTGGGAATCGACCCTCTTGGTTCATGGGTCAACGCTCAACCACTGAGCCACACCAGTTGGACTATTTCCTTTTTTATGGCTGAGTAATATTCCATTGTATGGATAGATCACATTTTGTTTATCATCAGTTAATGGGCATTTTTAGTTTTTTTGTTTTTTTTTAAATCTATTATGAATGATGCTACTATGAACATCACCTACAAGTTTTTATGTGGACCTGTGTTTAATATTTAATCCACAGCCACCTTCTGCTGTAGGTGATAATCTTGATCCCATTTCAGCCATGAGGAAAAGCCTCCAGGACCTGAATTAACTTGTGCCAGGATACATAGCTAAGAGCTGGCACTGGGTCCTGACTCCGGGTCCCACCAGTCCTCTTTATGATCACAAGATGGAATTACACATAAGCTGTTTTTCTCATCACTATATCCACAGCATCTAGCGTAGTGCTCTAGTTGGCCCACAGCAAATATTTGTTGATGGGATGAATGGATCACCATCTGTTTTCTTAGAATGAAAGGGTCACACTAGTCCTGGGTCAGCCTTATGCCTGTGGCTGCCTAGTTGAGGGTTTCTAAGGCAAACTTGTCTTAATTCTGACCCCTGAACAGAATAGGCCCAGACTGGCCTGTGTCTGTTTGCCCTGGGCCTGGGTCAGGACCCCAGAGAGCAGCATTTGGCTTTTCCCCACATATCTCAAGGCCTCCACAGCTGCCAACATTTCCCAGGCACTGGGCAGACCTGGCCACCTTCTACTAGGTCTGCCCTAGAAGGAGCTCCCGGGGGAGGTGGCCCAGTTATCCACCTTCTGCACGAGGTATCTAAATCCCTGACCTCTGCTTTGAGCTTGCCACTGTCCCCTGTAGAAAACAAGCTCCTGACCTTGACGTTAAATTGGGAATGGTAGGGTAAAGAACACCAGAAACACATTTAACCTCTAGCCTGTTGCTATTTCTTACTTTAGGGTCTGCAAGTGGATGATGAGATTGTGGAGTTTGGCTCTGTAAACACCCAAAACTTCCAGTCACTGCAAAACATTGGCAGCGTGGTGCAGCACAGCGAGGGGGTGAGTTGGGAGTTGGGGCATTTGGTCAGTAAGCCTAGAATTGCCGGGGCCAGGAAACACTGCCAGAGCCTTGACTGATGCCTTCAAAGTGTGTTACTCAGGCGTAGTCCCTGCTCAGGGCCTCTGCCTGTGCTGTTCCTCTGCCTGTGCTGTTTTTCCCCCCTCAGTCCCTCTGTCTCATCTCACTCCTCACTGCCCTCACCTCGTACACGTGACACCTTCCCCGTGAGGCCTCGGTCTAAAATACCCCTCTCCGACTTCCTGTCCGTTTTCATCCTTTTTTATTTTTAAGAAGATATTTTATTTATTTTTATCCTCACCTGAGGACATTTTTCCATTTTTTTATTCAGATAGAGCGAGAGGGAGAGAGAGGAAGGGAGAGAGAGAGAGAAACATCGACGTGAAAGGGACACATCGAGTGGCTGCCACCCCACAACCCAACCAGGGCCGGGGACAAACTGCAACCGAGGTACGTGCCCCCAGCGGGAGCCGAAGCCGGCCTCGCTCTTTTCTACGGCTGCACAGGACCCACGTGTGAATGGACCACGTGCGTCCACCCGCCGCACATTTGGTTATTTCCGGTTTTATACCAGGATGAATAGCTGTGTACTTGCTCATGACTGTGCACATATGTGGGCTCTTAGAGTAGATACCAGAAAGTAGAATTACAGCTCTCAGTGTACGTACACTTAACATTTTAATGGGTAATTTGAAAGAGTTTTACTAATTTATACTCTGGGTGTGTCATTATCATCAACAGTCCTCTGCATTGCTTATTGATCTCCTAATATTTAACCAAAATGGCACCTTGTTTTAATTTTATTTTCCTGATTATGTGTGAGGTTGAGTATTTTTTTTTTCTGTTTTTCTTTTTTTCTTTAAAGTTTGGCTGATTCTTTTTTTTCTTTTTATTGATTTTTAGAGAGAGAGGAAGGGAGAGGGAGAGATAGATAGAAACATCGATGAGAGAGAACATTGATTGGCCACCTCCTACATGCCCCCCACTGGGGATTGAGCACACAACCTGGGCATGTGCTCTGACCGGGAATCGAACCGGTGACCTCTTGGTGCATGGGTTGATGCTCAACCACTGAGCCACACCGGCCAGGCAAAAGTTGTAACTTTTGATGCATCTTCTTTGAAATTTGTAATTTTTTGGGTATGTTACCTACTTTATTTTTTTTTTCATTAAAGTAATACAATATACATGGTTTAAAAATTAATGGTATAGAAAGATATAAAAATAAATGTCGTCTTCTCTTACAACATTCTCTCTGGGACGTAACCACTGTTAACAGTTTTCTGGTATATCAGGAAACTTTGTATGCACCTCTACACATAACCAATGGACACAGACAATAGTGTGGGGAAGGCAGGAAGGGGGCGGGAGCGGGAAGGAGGGGGGCCAATGGGGGGAACATCTGTAATACTTTCAACAATAAAGATAAGCCCTGGCCAGTTTGGCCCAGCAGTTAGAGCATCAGCCCGCGGACCAGAGAGTCCTGGGTTTGGTTCCCGTAAGGGCATGTACCTCGGTTGCACTTTGTCCCCGGCCCCTGTTGGGGTCGTGTGGGTGGCAGCCAGTCGATGTGTCTCTCTCACATGGATGTTTCTTTTTTTTTTTTTATTCTCACCCGAGGACATTTTTCCATTTTTTGCACAGACAGAGTGGGAGGGAGAGAGAGGAAGAGAGAGAGAGGGAAACATCGACGCGAAAGGGACACATCGAGTGGCCGCCACCCGCACGACCAACCAGGGCCTGGGACAAACTGCAACCAAGGCACATGCCCTTAGCGGGAACCGAACCCAGGTCTCTCCGGACCGCAGGCGGACCCTCCAACTGCTGAGCCAAACCGGCCAGGGCAGGGATGTTTCTTTCTCTCTCTTCCTTCCTCTGTCCCTCCCACTCTTTCTGAAAATAAATGCAAAAAAAAAAAAAGTTAAAAAAAACCCCACCTCATATGCACCAAGCAACACATACGTCCTTTTAGAAAATCTATTCAAATGGGTTCATACTTTCTTGGTGGGGTTTTGTTATGTATTCTAAAACTACCTCATTCACTATACTATATATATATATTTAATCCTCATTCGAGGATATTTTCCCATTGCTCTTTAGATAGAGTGGGAGGGAGAGAGAAAAAGAGAAAGATAGATGTGAGAGACACATTGATTGATTGCTTCCTGCATGACCCCCACTGGGCCCAGGGATCAAGTCTACAACCCAGGTACATGCCCTTGACCCGGAATTGAACCTGAGACCCTTAGGTCCACAGGCCAATGCTCTAACTGCTGAGCCAAACCAGCTAGGGCTACTATATTATATTTGAACAATACCTTACTAAGGGATATTTTGGGTGTTTTCAGTTTTTGAATTTATAAACAGCCCTGGGATGAATACTTTGTTCGTATATCATCTTGTATTTTTGGTGGGGTGGAGACTTGTTTCTGCAAGAGGATGGTATGGATTTGCAGCCCCAGAGGCTGCCCTGAGGGCCACTCCCCCCACCCACCAACTGCAGGCTAATGCTTAAAATAAGCATCCTTACCAATCTGATGGGTGAAAAACAGTATCTCAGATTTTAGCCTGAATTTCTCTGAGTGCTAAGGAGCTTGAACATAAGATGAGCTTATTTTCCTTTCAGAAGCCCCTGAATGTGACAGTGATCCGCAGAGGACAGAAACACCAGCTTAGACTGGTCCCAACACGCTGGGCGGGAAAAGGACTGCTGGGGTAAAGTGTCTGTTTCCGTCCATTCGCACAGCAGTGTCGGTTGCATGCTTGTTAGACACAAAGCTGGGTGGTGGTGATGGCAATCCCCAGGTGGTCCACAGAACTGAAAGACTTGTGGCAGGAATGAGACTGCAGTACGGAGCCCTGGTCTCTCTGGTTCTTTAATTAACTGAGCATCTGCTTTACAAAACTAAAGAATGCCCACGAAAAGCTCAGGAGGGCTCACCTTCTGAGCTTCCTGAATGGAGCCCCCAAACTTACACTGTTTCTTTTCTTTTCTTCTTCCAGCTGCAACATTATTCCTTTGCAAAGTTGATTGTCCCTGAGGAACAGTAACAGGAAAGCATCTTCTTTTGCCCTGGACTTGGGTCTAGTGGGGATTTCTCCCGTCTCTTCTCTCCCTAAAGTTTAAGGATCTGGAGGAGGCTGGAAGCCTGAACTTCTAGATGGTGGCCTCCAAGTGTAATCTCTTGGGATTAAGACATTGTTAAAAGCTTGATATGTGCTTAGCATCCTCTGCCAATTAGGCCATGACCCAAAATGGGAATCTCTGATTGTGGACAAGAGGGTGGGAGTTATTCTGACAGGTGCAGGCATGACTTTATTCTTTTAGGAATTTTTTTTCCCAAAATAAACAGAATTTTATAGTACTGATATGACCATGTTATTTCTCCAACTGAATTTCTTATGAACCTCTCAGACCAAAGCTTAGACGGCAGTTAGAACATCCTCATAGAAAGTTGGGTCTGGCCAGTGGCTCAGTTAGTTGGAGCATTGTCCTGATGTGCCAGGGTTTTGGGTTTAGTCCCCGGTCAACCGATGAATGCGTGAATAACAACAGAACGATGTTCTCTCTCTCTCTCCTCCCCTTCCTCCCTCCCTCCCCCTTCCCTCTCTCTCAAACCAATTTTATTTTATTTTATTCTCAAATCAATTTTAAAAAAGAAAGAAAGTAGGGAGAACATTGTGCCAAAGTCAAATTTGACTGCAACACGTCAGGAACATCGTTCTTTGTGGCCCCGGCTTTCCAGGCGCTCCGGCTGCCCATCTGCACTTGCAGTGAGCATTGCTGCTCTAAATACAGAAATTGCGTCCTCAGCAGTTGGAGCTCAAAGCCACAGCTGCTCCCGTTAAGAACAGAGAAATCATGAGGCTCCCCAGGCAGCCCAGCGAGGTGTCAGCTTTCTTATCCATAACCCACCAGAGGGCAGCAAGCTGCCTTCACTTCTAGAATAAAAATGCCTGCAAATTAGCTTCTAATTTGGCTTCTTAGAATTGGGCCTCCTGGCGGTGCCCTCAGCTCGGCACTGTTTTTCAAGCTGCAAGCTGTGCTTGAAGCCACCGATGGGAACAAGCAGCACGGCAGACCTGACCGCTTGGAAGTGCCGATCCCTTCCTTTTATCTTCTGCTAACAGGGCCAAGTGGGTCCCAGTGATTCCTACTGACTCTAGTCTTTCCTTCTCTCTTCACTGTCTCACCGCGGTAATTTCCGCTGGTCCTGCAGACCCCTCTCTCAGAGATCTGGCACATTCTGCCGGGGCCTGCTGTGCTGGGGTTGGATGCAGACACCAGCCCGCCCGGCTGGGAGTCAGTACTGGACTGTGCTTCCAGCCCCGGTTCTCAAAGCCTCCCCGTGGAGTGTCTGCCCCCAACCTACTCCAGCAGGACAGCGCATGCGTGCCCCCATGGCCACAGCAGGCCAAGCTTTGCTGCTTCAGTTGTGTTCTAATTCCAGGTGCTTTCAGTGATAATAAACAGGCTTCTCCCACCCGGGCCTGGGGTGGGGAGTGGGAGGGTCATTCTCATTCTCCTAAAATAGCAGCAAAGAGTCTTCTGCATCCGTGCCTGGGGCTGGTTTCCTGCAGGTTTCTCTTTGGAAACCTCGGGGTGGCCACGGGGGCCCTCTTCTGTGAGATTCTAGGGAGGGTCACTTGGAGGCGGAGTGATCCTAATAGACGAACCGAACCGGTTTTGCAGAACCGTTCCGTGCTAAGCACGGCGAGATAACGTAACCTATATATTCCAGCGGCTAAAATTCTCTACGTGACACTTTTCGCCCTGGTGAGAAGGTGCGGAGGGCAGGTACGCGCAGCCGCCAGAGAACTTCATCAAACGTTTATACTTGTTCACTTGGCCGTGTCAAGCCTTCAGATCGAAACTGCTAGTATCAGCCGCTGCAGCCTCGCAGGGGACGGGCCCGGGGAAGGGGGGCTGGAAGGAAAGCAGGCGGCACCAGGAAAGCCCACTTTCGTCGCCCCAGTCGCCACGGCGCCTCTCAGGGGGACCGGCAGGGGGCGCGCCTGCCCGCTCGCGGCGGTTTCTGGGCACGTGACCATAGCCCAACCCTCTCGCTTTACGGCTCGTCGTCGCTGGCTGCCGCGGCCGCAGTTACCATGGGGATGGGGCTTGGGTGGCAACCGTAACTAGGGAGCGGAGTAGAAGAGAGCGGCCGCAGTGGGAGACCTGGAGGTGGCCGAGGAGTCCGAGCGGAGGGACGACTCGGCCCTTTGAGGACGTGGGTGGGCGCTCGGTGAGTCCGGGGCGCAGCCACGCGGCCCGGGCGGGGGGCCCAGCAAAGCGGCCCCAGGTGCCTCGCGGGGGCGCTCACCTCAGCCCCGCAGGGCCGGCCCGGGCCCCAGGGAGACCTGAGCGGGGCGGGGAGGGGGGTGCGCCCCGCAGACCCGCACACCTGTTGTCCCCCCAAACCCCCGGGTGAAAACCCCCTTTTCGGGCGCGGCCCTGTGCCGAAGGCCCTGGACTTGACCCCGTACCTTTCAGCGGAGGAAGGCCGGCAGCGGGGCCCTGCGCAGCGGCCCTGTGATCTGATACGTCCCTTCAGCTCTCGGAGCCGCACAGCCTCCGTGTGTTGTAAGGACGGAGAGAAAAAAGGTTGTAAACTTTTTTTTCAATCCTCATCCGAGGACATTTTTTGATATTTTGTTCAGATAGAGTGGGAGGGAGAGAGAGAGAGAAACATCGACGTGAAAGGGACACATCGAGTGGCTGCCACCCACACGACCCAACCAGGGCCGGGGACAAACTGCAACCGAGGTACCTGCCCTTAGCGGGAACCGAACCTGGGTCTCTCTGGACCGCAGGCCGACAGTATAACCGCTGAGCCCAACCGGCCCGGGCAAGGCTTGTAAACTTTGTAAACAGTTGCTACCATTTCTCAAGCACTATGTTGAGCATTTTCCGAAAGTCATCGAATCACAATCACCCCAGAGCATGGGTTATTGTTTTCATTGAGCCTGTGAGCAAATTTGGACTCTGAGGCATAAAGTGATTCGCCCAAGGTCACCGAGCAAGTGAGCAGGGGAACTGGGACACCAGGAGAGGCTGACGGCAAAGCCTGTGATTTTTTTTTTTAATCCTTGCCCAAAGATATTTTTTCCATTTATCTTTAGATAGAGTGGAGGGGAAGGAAGGAAAGAGAGAGAAACATTGAAGTGAAAGAGACACATCAACTGGGCACCTCCTGCACGACCCTGACCAGGGCGGGGGATGAACTACATCTGAGACACATGCCGGTGCTTGGAATGGAACCTGCGACTCTTTGGTCTGTGGGCTGGCGCTCTAACCACTGCGCAAACTGGCCAGGGCAAGCCTGTGCTTTTAACCACTAAGCTACACTGCTTCTTAGTCATATTATTAGAATTGTTGCTAATGCCTGGGTTATGCATGTTGCTGCCTGTTGGAATACAAATGTCTTTATTTATTAATTTGTTTTTTTTTTATTCCTCACCTGGAGATATTTTTCTATTTCTCATCAGATAGAGTGGGAGGGAGGGAGGGAGAGAGGGACAGAGAGAAATGTGGATGTGATAGAGCCACGTCAGCTGGTTGCCTCCCGTACAACCCCACCAGGGCCGGGGACGAACCGCAACCGAGATACATGCCCTCGGCTGGAACCGAACCTGAGACTCATTGGTCCTTGGCCGACGCTCTGACCGCTGAGCCAAACCTGTCAGGGCTGGAGTATGAATATATTTAAAATGAGTTAGAGAGCTTTAAAGTTATTCCTAGAAAGATAAGAGGCCCTGGGGTTGATATTTTCAAGATTTGGGACAGGCGTTCCCAGGAGTACGACATTCTTTTTATTCTGTGGAAAGGAACCAGAGCTGATATTGCACATTTTATCGATAGGTTAGGTCACCAAGAAATGAAAATGGGAAACAGAGGGTCTTGCTGATTATTATGGTCGAATTTCTCTAGAGAAAACTCCACAGAGAAGAATGTCAGATACAGAGAAAAACCCACTAGAAGAAACAGAAGATGGAGAATCAGAAATGGAAGAAGAAGAAGAAGAAGAAGAAGAAGGAGAAGGAGGAGAAGAATATCCTTCAGATTATTATAAAGAAGAAAATATGCAACAGGAATCAAAGGATGACCTATTCGCATGGGGAGTCTCTCAGGAGGAGAGGGAGGAAGAAGAGGTAGGAGAGGAGGAGGGGGAAGAAAAGCGAGAGGAAGGAGAGGAGGAGGAGGAGGAGGAGGAGGAGGAGGAGGAGGAGGAGGAGGAAGAGGAGGCTTTCAGAGAAGAACCAGAGAAACAGGCTGGAGCAGCCGTGGAGGCGGTGGCTTCGGAAGTCCAGGGTGAAACCACAGGGAAGCCCGAAGCACCCACCACGTCTGTGACCAGTTTGGAAGGACTTGAATTAACGGAGTCATCAATCATGTCAGAGATTTTTCCGGTAAGTAGTAATCGTCATTCATTCATTCAACCATTAACTGAATGCTTATTATATGCCAGGCTATGGGCATACAAAACCAAGACACAGTTTGTTCTCTTGAGTTCTCGGGTGTGTTGGGAGGCAGACCCATAACCGAACATTATAAAACAATATGTACGTGCAAACATTGAGAGGTGTATGGGAGATATTTTTTTTTAAAGGATTTTATTTTATTTATTTTTTAATCCTCACCCGAGGACATTTTTCCAATTTTTGTACAGATAGAGTGGGAGGGGGAGAGAGAGAGAGAGAGAGAAACATTGACGTGAAAGGGACACATCGAGTGGCTGCCACCCGCACGACCAACCAGGGCCGGGGACAAACTGCAACCGAAGTACGTGCCCTTAGCGGGAACCGAACCCGGGTCTCTCCGGACCGCAGGCCAACGCTCTAACCGCTGAGCCAAACCGGCCAGGGCGGGGAGATATTTTTTTAAAAAAGAAACATTTAACACAACTTGGAGAGTAGTCAGGGAAGGCTTCCTGGAGGAGGAGCTGGCTTGAAAGGGCTGGTAGGGGTTAGCTGGAGTGTGCCTGTCTTAGAACAGTGATGATAATCATGTAAGCTTCCCAGAGACCTTCCCTGTAGGAGAACTCAGCCCTGGCTCAAGGAGAACTGACCTTTTGTGACTAGTCGGCCATTTAGATTCCACCATAATGATCCTGCCATCGTGGTCTGCTGGTAGGCCAGGAGTAAACCAGACGCACCCACGATTCGTGTGATTTGAGGACAAAGCTGTCCAGACTCCTTTGTAAAATATTTCATCATTCCAGTGTGAGGCTAAAACTGAGCCTGGCTGGTTAGGAAAATACGTGAGAATCTACCATATTTGGAATCACAGCCTCCTTCCTTTCTTTCTAAAGAAGACCCGCAGTGACGCCGAGTCAGAGCATTCTGTGCAGACAGCGAGTTTGAGCAGCCTGGACGCACATCTACAATTCAACGTCGACCTCACCAGTTCTGAGGAGGAGCAGCTGCTAAGCGCCCTTAAAACGCAGCCCTTGGGCCAGCCCACCGACCAGACGTCCCAGGAGCAACTGGGACAAGAAAAGAGAGGTTCGGGGCCGGAGAAGTGGGAAAGGAGAGAAAAAGAAAAAGTACCCTCTGTCACTGAGGAAGAAGATAAAGAATTCCAGCCCAAAGCTGGCATCCTGAAGGAGTCACTGGTGTCCACCACCACCGAGGACATTTTGTTTCAAAAGGACGACAGTCCCAGCGTGTATCCCTTGGTAAGTGTCTCATGCTTTTGTGCCCCCGTCCCAGCTGTGCTTTGAGAGTATTGTGAAGGGGGGGGAGGGTTAGCAGATGGGAAAAAATGCCATCAGAAAGATCCTTTTAAAACTAATCATTGAGCCCTAGCCTGTTTGGCTCAGCGGTTAGAGCATTGGCCTGCGGTCCAGGGAGACCCGGGTTCGGTTCCCGCCAAGGGCATGTACCTCGGTTGCAGTTTGTCCCTGGCTCCGGTTGGGGTCGTGTGGGTGGCAGCCACTCAGTGTGTCTCTCTCACATCGATGTTTCTCTCTCTGTCTTCCTCCCTCTCTTCCTCCTGCTCTATCTGAAGATAAATGCAAAAATGTCCTCGGGTGAGGATAAAAAATAAAATAAAACTACTCATTGACTTGTGTCTTATAAAATTCACTCCAGAGTTCTGGCTGGACACGAGTGACAGTGTGTGGGCAGGAGTCCGGCTGGATTCAGGGAGCGGTGCTGCTAGGCAGGCGGGAAATGACAGTGGCATCTGTCTTTGCACAGGGTGATGTTTTTTTGTGGGAGATTCGAAAATTCTATCCCACTTCCCTCCCCTCCCTCTCGTTATACAACTCCTCCTCCACTCCATCAATTCCTTCTTTCCCCTCGCGCCTCACCTCTTCTGCCTTTCCTGGCTCTGTACCTTTGTAAGCTCCTGCACCTGTCCATTCTCAGACAGATCGTCAAGTGAAAGGTGTGGCCAACTGGAAGCCCCTGGGAGCGGCACCCGGCGGCCCAAAGGAACCTGCTTGGCCGCCGCCGCCAGTGTTCCAGGAGGCACCATCTGCCAGGAGTAAAAATATTATCATTTACCAAGAGAAGGAAGAGAAGGGTTTTTTTCCCTTCTTCCTCCATCTGCTGTTTTCTGAAAATTGTTTCCTAGGATTCGTGTCCCCCCCCCGCCCCCAATAGATTTGTGCCTTTGGAAGAATTGTAAGTGATCGAGTGTATGTCAAGTACTTCATGTAGTTCCTAACACATAGTGAGCGCTTGACAGGCGTTGACAAGGAGATGACGATGGAAGACGCCTGTGAAGCAGACAACCCGCAGCCTCCTTCCTGTCCATTCGGAGCTCGGGTGAAAGCCTGCAGGTGCTCAGCCCGGAAGGGGGGATGGCTGAGTTGTGGAGCCCGTGAAGACTTCGTCTTTCGAAGGCTGAATCATATTCACGTTTTGCTTATCCAGTCATCTGTCGGTGGACGTTGGGGTCCTTCTGCGCTCTGGCCGCCGTGAAATGTGTTGCTGTGAGCACGGGTGGACAGACATCTATCTGAGACTCTGCTTTCAGTTCTGGGCGTACACCCAGACGTGGAATCGCTGGGTTCTTGGCGGTTCTGTGTTCAACTGTTGTTTCTTTTCTCCTCACCTGAGGACATGTTTGCATTCATCTTCAGACAGAGCGGGAGGGAGAGAGGGAGGAAGAGAGAGAGAAACATCGATGTGAGAGAGACACATCGACTGGCTGCCACCCGCATGACCAACCAGGGCCGGGGACAAACTGCAACCGAGGTACGCGCCCTTAGCGGGAACCGAACCCGGGTCTCTCTGGACCGCAGGCCGACGCTCTAACCGCTGAGCCAAACCGGCCAGGGCAACTTTTTTTTTTTCTTCATTGATTTTTTTAGAGAAAGGGAGAGGGAGAGAGAGATAGAAACATTGATGAGAGAGAACATTAATTGGCCACCTGCATGCCCCCCACTGGGGATCAGGCCCACAACCTGGGCATGTGCCCTGACCAGGAATCGACCTTTTGGTGCATGAGTTGACCCTCAACCACTGAGCCACACCGGCCAGGTCTGTTTTCAACTTTTTAAGGAAGCCCCACACGTTTTCCATAGCAGCTGCACCATTTCTCATTCCCACCAGGAATGCACAGGGCTCCAGTCTCTCCACACCCTCATAAAAGTTGCCCTCTTAAAGTGTGCAGTTCATTCATGCAGAAGTGAAAAGTGAAAGACCTTGGGGGCAAAATAAAGTGTATAACTCATTGTTTTCAGTACCTTCACGAGGCTGTGCAACCATCGTTACTATCTAATTCCAGAACATTCTCATCACCCCATAAAGAAACCCCCACCCCTGGCACCCACCACTCTGCTTTCCGTCTCTCGGATTTGCCAGTTCTGGACACTCCATACGGGTGGGGTCACAGTGTGTGGCCCTTTGCGTCTGGCTTCTCTCACTCAGCCTCAGGTCCCAGGGTCACCCACGAGGTCGTGCGCTGTGGAGGGCTTTCTTTTCTTTCTTTTTTTTTATTCTCACCTGAGGACATTTTTCCATTTTTTGTTCAGATAGAGTGGGAGGGAGGGAGAGAGAATGAGAGAGAAAGAGGGAGAGAAAGAGAGAGAGAGAAACATCGACGTGAAAGGGACACATTGAGTGGCTGCCACCCACATGACCCAACCAGGACCGGGGACAAACTGCAACTGAGGTACGTGCCACCAGCGGGAACCGAACCCGGGTCTCTCTGGACCACAGGCTGACGCTCTAATCGCTGAGTCAAACCAGCCAGGGCTGTGGAGGGCTTCCTTAAAGTGCTTTCTCATCATTGGATCTGTGGTGTGAAGCCCTCCTCCAAGGACCCCTGCCAGGGGTGCCGGGTGGTCCGGCTCTGGGCTGGGCACATGGGGGCGTCTTACCGGTCTTCCCTTTGTCTTCCAGACCATGACGTGGTCGTACGGCTGGAACAGCTCTCTTCCTGTGTACTACATCCGAGACGAAAGCCAGAGGGTTCTCCTGTACGCCAGTGGCCACACCGCGGTCATCTACAATGTTTTCAGGAATGAACAGCATCACCTTCAGGTGGGCAGCTGTCCTGACTACCAGCCGCAGAAGTCGTCTCTAGCTTGAATACAGCATTTCGGTTCTTTTAGTTTATTTTAATCCTCACCCAAGGACAGTTTCCCATTTATCTCCAGATAGAATGGGAGGGAGAGAGAGAGAAACAGAAACATCGATGTGAGAGAGACACATTGATTAGTCTCCTTTCACATGACCCGACCCGGGCTGGGGACTGACAACTGAAGGACATGCCCTTGACCAGAATCGAACCCACAACCCTTCGGTGCACAGGCTGATGCTCCAACCATTGAGTCACACCAGCCAGGGTGTAATGAACACATATTTATTTATTTTTCCTTTATTGATTTTAGAGAGAGAGGAAGGAAGAGAGAGAGAGAGAGAAACATTGATGAGAGAGAACATTGATTGGCCACCTCCTGCATACCCCCCACTGAGGATCAGGCCCACAACCTGGGCAGGTGCCCTGACTGGGAATCAAACCGGCGACCTCTTGGTGCAGGGTCGACGCTCAACCACTGAGCCACACCGGCCGAACGTTTAACACGTATTTTAATAAGGACTTCCTTAGTTAATGCCTAGAACAAAAATATCACAAACTGTTTCCCAAGAGTTTAGTCAATGCTCAGCATTGTGCCTGGGACTCCAGACACGTGGGTGCGACTTGAGGCATTTGCTTTCTAGAAGTCCAGAAATGCCCACACACAGAGCCAGCCAGCAGCTCACCTTGGAGCGGAGCTGAGTGTGCAACACGGAGCGCGGTGGCTGCAGCGGAGGAGAAGGCAGAGGCGGTGTAGGCAGGTGTCAGGGAGCCTGGGGGCTGGCAGTCGGCACATGGGCTGAGACGGGCAGGAGTCCAGCTTCCCCGGAGTCAGATGGCTGGAGATAGCCTTTGACTGTTCCTCAGTTCATCCCACAAACACGTATCATAACCGCTGTTTCAGGTTAAGGGTTACAGTTTCAGGTTAAGGGTTACAGTCTCGTGGAGAGACACACATTAAACAATTACACATGTATCATTGCAAATTGTAACAAGTGTTCAGAGGAAACGTGAAAACGCTGTTAAAGAGAAAACCCGAGGGCGGGCGGAGGCTTCCGTTGGATTGGGTGGGCAGGGAACGGAAAAGTGCCGTCTGCCGGGACCTGAGCATGAGAAGGAGCCGACCGGGCGCAGCTCGGGGGACGAGCGCTCCAGGCAGTGAGGGCTGCAGTCTCGGGCCTGTGTGCGAGGCCTAGAAGGGAGGACAGTGTGCACAGTGAGCCCGGGGAGACGAGGGAGGGGACAGGCTACTGCAGGGAGTGCTGCCCCGTTGTTTGTGTTTCTAGAAGATTCCCCTGCTCTGTGGGGACAGGATCAGAGTGGAAGTGGAGAGAGCAGTGAGGAGGCCTCTCTCCAGGGCTGCTCAGCAACCCGACGTGAACACTGCTTTAGGGAGACGCAGCTGGCAGGGGGGTACAGGGGGCTGGAGATGGGGAGAACCTACACACTTGTTCTCACCTGGGTTCAGAGTCAGGTACATGCCTAGACCCCTAGGAAGTCACTGTTCTTGCGGGGCGTGTGGCTTATCCTTTAGGTATTTGAGGGGGAGAAAGTTTGAGTCCTGTCCGGTGTGGCTCAGTGGTTGAGGATCCTCCCGTGCACCAGGAGGTCGCCAGTTTGATTCCGGTCAGGGCACATGCCCAGGTTTCAGCTCCATCCCCAGTAGGAGACATGCAGGAGGCAGCTGATTGATGTTTCTCATCGACGTTTATCTCTCTCTCCCTCTCCCTTTCTCTCTTTCTCTCTCTAAAATCAATAGAAACATTTAAAAAGAAAAAGAAAGTTTGAAAACCACTGGTTATGGACAAACACCAGGGAAGGCCAGTGGGAGCAGGATTTCCAGCCAGATGAGCCCGGAAAGGGGCTTAGTTCTCTCTTTGGGGCCGCATCCTCGATGTTTCAGAGCATTTTCTCTTCCTTTCCTTAGGGCCACCCCAACGTGATCTCCTGTCTCTGTGTCAGCGAGGACAGGCGGTGGGTCGCCACGGCTGACAGAGGGCCCAGCTGCCTGATAATTATATGGGACTCCTTCACAGGGTAGGCTTGGTACAGTCACTTTTCCTCTCGTTTTCACAGGCTACCTGCCACTGGGACCAGCAGAAATGGACAGTGTGGTCTGGGGCTGCAGAAGCTAGTGATGGGCCACAGGGGGGGGAGAGTTGCCAGGGAAGTCCCGGCTTGCTGGGGTGACCCCACCGTGGTGAATTTCTCATTGACAGTCTTGGCTCTTTCAGCCCAGAAACTTGGTTGGTTTGTGTCAAAGCAGACGGGGCCGAGGGGAGCTAAGTCACACCCACCCGCTCGGAGGCCCAGGGGAATGAAGCGGCTTTTCCCGTCTGATCATACCTGTCCTTTAGTTTTGCGCGGCTGCTGTAAGGAATGGCCACCAGCTGCGTGGCTTAAAGGGACAGATTTCTTCTCTCACTTCGTCCGTCTGAAGTCGGGTCGGTTCCTTCCGGGGCCCCGAGAGAGTCTGCTCCGTGTCCTGTCCGAGCTCCTGGTGGCGGCTGGCCAGCCCTGGTGCTTCTTGGCTAGTAGGCTAATCACTCCTCTCTGCTGACACATACATGGCACTTGTGTCCTACGTCTCTCTGTGCATCCTCCTCCGCGAGGACACCGGCCATTGGATTCAGGCATTCCCCCGCCCTCGTCTAGTACGACCTCATCTTAACTCACTGCCTACGCCAAGACCCTGCTCCCATCAAGATCCCATTCTGAGGCTCTGGGTGGACGGGAATTCCACCCTCCGACCACTACACGTAACCTCGCAGGTTGTTACGGAGATCAGCAGAGCAAGGACCTGGTTACTCCTCACCCAGGGAGATTTTCTCCACGGACTTTTTCAGACAGAGTGGAAGGGAAGGAGGGGGAGAGAGAGAGGAGAGAAACATAGATGTGAGAGCGACACATGGATGCGAGAGAGAAACATTGACCAGTTGCTTCGCGCACGCTGGGGATTGAACCTGCAACCTAGTTATGTGCCCTTGACCGGGAAGTACACCCATGACCCTTTGGTGCGCGGGCCAACACTAACCACTGAGCCACAGCGGCCAGGGCAAGGTTGTCTTTCTTCATTTCTGGTCCCAGGGCAAAAAGCGGTGCGAGGGGCCTTGAGTCGGTAAAGCCCTGGTTGTGTGGGGTGGGTGGCAGGAGGTGCAGGTGGATAAGAAGATTAGGGAGAAGTTGTGTTTAATGGTCCAGGGTACGGGCACTGTTCTCCCGCAGGGACCAGTGACCCCGGAGGGCCCTGTGCCCTAGCCCTGGGCCTCATCTTGCCAGACCTGCCAGTGGTATTTGACGCCCGCCCTTCCCTGGTCTTCTCTGTCACCACGTGCCCTGGTCTCGTCCTGTTCCTTCTCAGACGCGTCTTCCCCGGCCCCTCCTCAGCTGTGGCTGGCGAGGCGGAGGATGCTGCCGGTGGTGTTCTCCACGGGTGCGGCCACAGAGCCGGGGCTTCCTCTCTCCACTGCCAAGGGAGCTGCTAGAGAACCCGCTCCGGGGTGCCCCGGGCATTCCTGCGTCTGACTCCTGCCGACTCTACCTCCTGGGTGACCTCTGAACCCATTCCCACCTTCTGTTGACGTCGGTTGATTTTTTGAAAGATCATCTAGTGAAAGCAAGCCTCCTTGGGCTGCCGTCTTCAGCCGCGGCCTCTTCCTGGAGGCAGCAGCCGGTGTTTCCCTCGAGAACGCGGGCTGCTGCTGCAGACACACACGTTCGGACACCCTGCGGGTCACGGTGTTCCTCCACGTTTTGAGCGCGATCTTTTCCCAAACCCAAACATCTGACTGTCGCTCCCATGCTCGCCCCCAGAGGTGGCCCGGTGCCCGCTCAGCCTGTGATTCAGGAAACTACCTCGTATCACAGCTGTGCCGACGCTTCCCCAGACAGCGAGACTCCCCGTCTGCGGGCCTGGCTGCCATGTGGCCGTCCACGCTTTCGGCTGCAAGTAGGGGGACATGCGACAGACACAGAGGGTCCGGGGGCAGGGAGGCGACCCCTCAGGTGAGCCTCTTCTCCGAAGCTCCTCCTCCCCAGGCCGCGCTGGCCCCTTTCAGTGTTTATCCTCGGATTTTTCCTCATTTCTGAAGCTGTCTCCTCCCCCACTAAACTGGGAGCAACTAGAGGGCAGTGATTTTTTTTTTTTTATCCTCACCCGAGGACATTTTTCAATTTTTTGTACAGATAGAGTGGGAGGGAGAGAGAGGAAGAGAGAGAGAGAGAGAAACATCGACGTGAAAGGGACACATCGAGTGGCTGCCACCCACATGACCAACCAGGGCCGGGGACAAACTGCAACCAAGGTACGCACCCTTAGTGGGAACCGAACCCGGGTCTCTCTGGACCGCAGGCCGACACTCTAACTGCTGAGCCAAACTGGCCAGGGCTGATTTTTTTTTTTTTATCCTCACCCGAGGACATCCTTGCATTTATTTTCAGACAGAGCGGGAGGGAGAGATGGGGTAAGAGAGAGAGAAAAACATCAATGTGAGACAGACACATCAAGTGGTTGCCACCCCAACCCCAACTGAGGTGGGGACAAACTGCAACTGAGGTACATGTCCTTAGCAGGAACTGAACTTGGAGTCTCTGGTCCGCAGCCCAACACTCTAACCGCTGAGCCAAACCGTCCAGGGTCAGTGATGATTTTCTTTTTTTAATTAGGAAGTAAAGCATATTTGCCGCAGCCAGGTGGCTCAGTTGGTTGGAGCTTCATCCCAGGCACCAAGAGGTCACCAGTTCGATTCCTGGTCAGGGCACATGCCTGGGTTTTGTGCTCTCAGGTGGGGGGTCGTGCAGGAGGCAGCCTATCAGTGTTCCTCTCTCATCAATGTTTCTAGCTCTGTCTCCCTCTCCCTCTGTAAAAATCAATATAACATTGAAAAAAAAAGTTGTGGGTTTGATTCCTAGACAGGGCAAATACCTAGGTTGTGGATTCGGTCTGCATTTGGGGCACGTACAGGAGGCAACAGATAGATGTTTCTCACATCGATGTTTCTCTCTCTCTCAAACCAATAAATATGTCCTTAAGTGAGGATTTAAAAAATTTATAAACTAAAGCATATTTGTGGCTTATCATTCAAACAATAGGTCAATATGAGTTTTATGATATCACAAATGATGACTTGGGGACCCAGAAAAGATTATTTGGTTTTGGAATTAATGTTCACTTTATGAAAGTGACAAAAACCACAGTTCTTTAAGATCTTTGTTCAGTGTATAGATGTTACTCTATCTATGTCTGTCATAATGTTGCAGTCTCCTTTAAGGAGGCTTTGGTTAATGTTTGGCCCCACTTACAAATTTGATCATTGACTTCTTTTAAACATCTTAAACTGCATTTAAAAATTGAATATATTTGTTTTCATCTTTTAAGTTCTTTGGTGGTCTCATTAACAAATAAATCTTCACCAATACTTAAGTAGTTCTTGTAAATCTAATAAATTAGACATAAATATGGCAAATCTTAAGTTCTTGTAAGCGTCCTAATATTGTTTGTAAACCTAATATGATTTGAATTTAAAATTACAGGCCTAAATCAACTACATACTTTAAATTAGAATCACAAATATAATCTGTTAGAAACTCTGATATGTTAAATTCTCTTAAACATCACCCATTCCTAAAAAAAGAACCAGTTCTCTGATCACAAATATGTTTATAGTGTAGGTCTGAGTGATTTCATCTTCTCTATATTTAATTCTAAATATCCCCAGGGGTGAGACACAGTTTCCAACTAATGACATCCCTGTGTTGTTCCCAACAACGTGAGGACATCATCATGCCTTCCAAGTGAATGTGTGGGGTGGCTACTCAGTGGGACGGAGTTTCTCAGGCGACAGAGAACCAGGCTGGCCCTCAGCTGGACACAGACTCGGTTCCGGCCAGGGGACACTGACGTGACAGACCGAGTCCTGTGCACATTCGCTGTACCAAGGGCTCCACAATGGGGAGAAGCTGGGAGCTGGTAGCACATGGTCCTGGATTAGGTCCTCCTGCCCCCACCCCACTCTCCATTTCTGAGGGAGTGGGGCCAGCTTACTTCCTCGTTGCGTCCGTTGTTCCCTGCACTGTGGGCTCTCCTAGACGTTTAAGTATCACCTGATTAAATTCTGCAGGTGTCGAGATTTGTCTGCATCTTACAGTTCCAAGTAAAAAGAAGAGCCCCGGCTGGTTTGGCTCAGCAGTTAGAGCGTCGGCCCGTGGACCAGAGAGTCTCAGGTTCGATGCTGGTCAAGGGCACGTACCTCGGTTGCAGTTCGTCCCCGGCCCTGGTCGGGTTGTTCGGGAGGCAACCGGTCGATGTGGCTCTATCATGTTGATGTTTCTCTCTCTCCCTCTCCTACTTTATCTGAAGATAAATAAAAAAATATCCTTGGGTATTTAAAAAAAAAAAAAAAAACAGAAGAAGAAAAAAGTTCCTCTGCACACAAAGCCCTTCTCTGGAGTCAGCGTTGTTCTTGGAGTCTGTCCCTCCAGACTTGCTCCTGTGCCTACAAACACACACACAGTCAGGACGTGCTTCGTAGACTTGCAGTTTGCTTTTTTCACAAACTTTTGGTGACTTTCCCCAGCCTACCTTGTTCTGGGTCTAGTCTTTCATTATGTGGTTATGTCATAATATATATATATATATTTTTAATCCTCACCCGAGGACATTTTTCCATTTTTTTTTTGTTGTTGTTCAGATAGAGCGGGAGGGAGAGAGAGGAAGAGAGAGAGAGAAACATCGATGTGAAGGGACACATCGAGTGGCTGCCACCCGCACGACCAACCAGGGCTGGGGACAAACTGCAACCGAGGTGGTTATGTCATAATATTTTTTAACAGTTCCCACATTGATGGAGATTTGTGTTGTGTCCGGGTTTTTGCTATTAAGGCCACAGGAACACGAGTGACGTTGATCTCTGTGTACCTCTGCTGTTATTTCTGTAGGCAGATCTGTGGAGGTGGGCTTGCTGAGTCACAGAGTGTGTGCACTTAGCTGCTGTCCAGGGACCCCGTGCTCGGGGATATCCCCACTTATGTCGGAGAACACCTGTCTCCCCAAGAGCTGGGGTGTTGTCCTAGGCGTCTTTTGTCACAGTTTCATCCTTCACACCTGGCATAGAATTGGCCTCAGTAACAAGGGAGAGACTAGAGCTCATGACGAGAGCAAAGAGCACATTTACATGCTGCCCCGAGTTTTTTTATTTTGGTTATCAGGGTAAAATTCACATAACATAAAGTTAAACATTTCAAAGTGAAAAAGTCAGTGGCATTTAGCACATTCACAAGGTTGTGCAACCACCACCCCCATCTGGTTCCGAAACATTCTCATCCACCTGAAAGGAAACCCCATTCCCATCAAACAGTCGCTCCCATCCCCTCCCCTCTGCCCCTGGAAAACAGCAATCTGTTTCCTGTCTCTCTGGATTTCCCTGTTCTGGACATTTGGTATCAGTGGGATTATACACTGTGGCCTTTTCTGTCTGGCTTCTTTCATGTAGCATACTATTTTCAAGGTTCATCCACTTTGTAGCATGTTGGTGCTTCATCCCTTTTCACGGCCGAGTAATATTCCGCTGTATGGAAATACCACGTTTATTTAGCCACAGCTATGTGTTTGAAGTGGGTCCCTCTGAGAACTAAGGCAGGCCCAGCAATGCTTGTCCCGCGTCCTGTCCTGCAGGATTCCTGTGCACACGATATTCGACAGCTGCCCAGAAGGGAGCGGCATCCAGGCCATCGCCATCACCCACGATGCCAAGTATCTGGCAACCATCTCAGATGCTGAAGTCCAGGTAGAGGGCCCTTTGGGGTGGCCTCAGCGGGCTGGCCAACTCATCGAGAGCGTGGAGCAGCTCCGCTCAGGCCGCGCGGCGTCTGCAATGCTCTTGGGGTGACTGGACTCTGTGGCATGTTGCCAGGGTCCATCCTGGTGACTTTGCGTGAGGTGCTGTGCAAAGTTAACCAGCTACAGGGTTTCCACCGGCAGCCCCCAGAATCCCCATTCTCCCGTCTGCTCTCATGCACAGAAAGTTTGCATCTGGAGGTGGACTTTAGCAGTGGAGACACCGGCATGTACTCTGGACCTTCCCAAAGAGTATGGTTTCCAGGTGAGTTCCGTCTGCTATTGTAAGATCCACCTAAGGTGACACTCGGGCCAGGCCAAAGCGACTTCTCATTTTAGTGGACTTTTGTTATGGTGCAGTAGAGCACGCTCATCTGATTTTTGATGATAACTAATTTTTTGAGCACTTCCTATGGGCCAGGCTCTGCTGTGTTCTTTACATACAGTATCTCACACAATCCATGCGAACATGCCAGGAAGGAAATACCGCTGAACAGTAATATCTGTGGAGTCCCACTACTGTTATGGAAGCGTTTGTCTGAAGTCACCCCGCTAGCAGTCTTCTTATTCTAGAAGCGTGCTCACAGCTGCTCTTAATGTAGGGACGCTCTTCTTCGTTCGCATGAGGTGAGTTGCAAGGACACCCAGAAAGTTCACTCCTCTGGTCTGCGCTTTCTCATCCACCTTGCGTGCTTCATTCATCACACGTTATTGAGTCCCTGCAACGTGCCAGGCACTGTGCGAGCACTTACCTGGCTCATGGGAGCTGGAACCCAAACAGAGACTCGCCAGGCACGTATCAGCACACAGCTTAAGGCCACTTTGTCTCCTCCTGCTCCTTAAAAACAATGTTCTTCCTTCTTTTTATTTTTTAATGGATTTTTTTTTTTTTAGAAAGAGAGAAACATCAATCGGTTGCCTGCTATAGGCACCCCAACTGGAGATCAAACCCGTAACGTAGGTATGTGTCCTGCCCGGGAATCAAACCTGCTACCTTTCAGTGCACGAGACGATGCTCTAACCAACTGAGCCACAGCAGCTAGGGCCAGTGTCCTTACTCCTCAAAGCTGCTCTAATACAGCCCCGCAAATCATACGTGGCTATTTCAGATGGATTTTTCTATTGCTGCCAAAAATGCCTTTGGGATTTGGATAAGATTGCATTGAGTCTACAGACTGTTTTGGGTCATCTTGTCATTTTTTAATTTTTTTTTATCACCCGAGGGCATGTTTCCATTTTTTGTTCAGATAGAGCGGGAGGGAGAGAGAGGAAGAGAAAGAGAGAGGGAGAGAAACATCGATGTGAGAGAGACACACCGAGTGGTTGCCACCCACACAACCCAACCAGGGCTGGGGACAAACCGCAACTGAGGTACGTGCCCTTAGCGGGAACCGAACCCGGGTCTCTCTGGTCCGCAGGCTGATGCTCTAACCGCTGAGCCAAACCAGCCATCATCATCTTGTCATCTTAACAGTACTGTCTTCCAGCTCACGAGACAGGATGTCTTTTATTTATGTCTCTTCTTTAAGTCCCCTCAGCAGGGTTTAGTAGTTTTCAGTGTACAAATCTTTCACCTCCTTGGTTAAATGTATTCCTAAGTGTTTTGTTGGTGTTGTTCTAAGTGGAATTATTTTCTTTCTTTTTTTTTTTTATCCTCACCCGAGGATATTTTTCCATTTTTTGTACAGATAGAATGGGAGGGAGAGAGAGGAAGGGAGAGAGAGTGAGAAACATCGACGTGAAGGGACACATCGAGTGGCTGCCACCCGCACGACCAACCAGGGCCGGGGACAAACTGCAACGGAGGTACCTGCCCTTAGCGGGAACCGAACCCAGGTCTCTCCGGACCGCAGGCCGACACTCTAACCGCTGAGCCAAACTGGCCAGGGCAGTGGAATTATTTTCTTAGTTTCCCTCGTGGGTTGTTCATTGCTAGTGTATAGATGCATTTGATTTTGCGTGTGCTGGTTTTGTATATGCAACTTTGCTGAATACACGTGGCTACTTAAACTGATTAAAATGAAATACGACCCACATTCGTTTCCTCAGTCTCCCCAGCCACAGCTCAAGCAATCCCACTTCGACAACACCGACTATCGAGCCTGTCCATCATCACGCACAGGGCCATCGACAGCCTGCGGGGCCCCAGCCCTGGGTGAAGGCGCCACCATCCCTGTCTGCACCCGCACCCCAGCAGGCCGCATGGGGCTGCAGACACCTGCCCGACCGGGCTGATTCACGGTTCTTGGAATTCGGGCATGCGCTCCAGAGAGCTCTCGGGCTGCCTGGCCTCCTCCCAGGGGGCTGGCCTTCTCACTTCTAGAGGCAGTGGCTGCCCCCCCTCCCCCCGCCTTCCTCTCACTCTCCGCTGGTGGCCGCTGGTGGCCGCATGCTCCGTGGAGAGGAGGAGGCCGTCAGGTACAGACACTGGCTCTTCTCGCTCTCACCCTACAACCTGTTCCCACCCTCACGGTCTTCGCTTTCCCTCTAATCGCAAAAGCAGGGCCCGTGCCCTGGGTCCCCACCCCACCCTCCCTCACCTGCTCCAGGCCCTCTCCCCAGCGCCCACTCTCCCTCTGCCGCGTGGTAATCCGCATCCGTGAACCAACAGGCATTGGCAGCACCGATCTTCAGCGACCTTTGACCCACGCCGCCTCTCAGCTTTGCCCTCTGCCCCTCTTCATTGTGAAACTTTCCAGGAGAGCTCCGCACACTTGCTTCCCCTCCTTTCCCGTCTCTCATTTACTTTTTTCTGGGCAAGAAATATTAGATCTCTTTATAGTTTTATTGTTAAATAAGGCATACATGCAAACACCTACATTTTAAAGAAGAAAATGAAATCTGCTCGTGTGCTTGCCGCTGGATCAAGAAGCAGAATGTTACCTGAACCCCAGGAGTCCCCTCTGTTCCCCTTTCCCAGTCTCTTTCTCAGCCTTGCCCCCTAAAGTTAACCACGGTTCCTAATTTTGTGTTATACACCCCCTTTATATTTTTCTCCAGTGCTGTGTGCATTCCTCAGTCTGATCTTACTTCATTTGACCTGTTTTTGACCTTTCTGTATTTGGGATCAGACCATTGTTTCATTTGCTCAGCATTGTTTCTGAGGTTCATCCCTGTGGATTCACTCACTGTTACTGCTGGTTTTTCATTGTTGGAATGCTGTACCTGGAGGACATCATCCCATTGTCTCCTGACTTACATCATTTCTGTTGAGAAATCAGCTATCAATCTTCTTCTTCTCTGTTTTGACATTTATGTGTCTTTCTCCCCCCAGCTGCCTCCTTGGGTGCTTTTACGATTTTGCTCTTGGTTTTCAGCAGTTTCTCAGTAATGTGTCTGTGTGCATATGGGTGTGTTGTTGATTTAAAGAAAAATTTAGTCTTTGGGTTTTTGTTTTTTTTTTAACCTGGGATGTTGTATCTTTCCTGTTTGGGAAAACGCTCAGCCGTTGCCTCTTTAAACATTACTTCTGCCATATTCTTTCTTTTCTGTCTTTTTAGGACTCCAATTACATGTAAGTTAGACCTTTTCATCTTGTCTGTGAGTCTTTTATTCTTTCTTCTATATTTTCTATACTTCTGTATCTTTATGCTTCTGTCCGGATATTTTCTCCTATAATGTATCTTCCTTTTCTACTAATTTCTTTGGCTAGCTTTAATTTTCTGTTAAACTATATTTTGAGTTTTAAAAATATTTTAAATCTAGATCCATTTGATTCTTTTTTTAAAAAATAGAGTTAGCTGCTGAGATTATCCATCTCATCCTCTATTTCTTGCACATATTAGTGATAGTTATTGTCAGGTCTGTGTGCAATAACTCCAGTACCTAGATCTCCTGGGGTCTCTGTCTGTTGATTGCTTTTCTTCTTGGGTTTTTGGTCATTTGGATGCGTTTCTTTTGTATGCCTGGTTAATTTTAATTGAATGCCCAATGTTGTGCTTTAAGATCTATAGGGACAGCCCTGGCCAGGTAGCTCAGTCGGTTAGAGCGTCATCCTGATACACCAAGGTTGCGGGTTGATCCCTGGTCAGGACACATAGAAAAAGAAACCAATGACTGGGTTGATAAGTGGAACAACAATTTGATGTTTCTCTTTCTCTCTCTCTCTCAAATCAATAAATTAAAAAATAAAAATAAAATCTTTAGGGATAATTTAAGGCTCAGGATAATAACTTCCTTCAAGGAAAACTTGCCTTTGCTTCTTACAGGCATTCCCCAAAACAGCCACCTTAATCTAATCAGAGGCCGAGGTGATTTGAGGCTGATTTTCAGTCTTTGTGAGGTCTCAGCCACACCCTTGGTCTCATAGTTCCTCGCCCTGCCTCGTGCTGTCCTAATAGAGAGTCTCAGACTTGGCCGTGGTGGTTTCCATTCTCGAAGGGGAGCAGCAGGCAGCAGGCAGAGGCCAGGAAGGGGAGATGGAAGGGGCAGGAACGGAAGGGGTTTCTCCGCCCTGCTCTCTACGCCCCTCAACCCCTGGTCTCGGGCTGCGCCATCCGCTCCATACCCATGTCCTCTTAAGATGCATGCCAGGGATCTCCCCAGGGACTTCTCACTTTTTGTTGTGTTATTGTTTAGTTTCTGCAGTTCATGTTTCCCTCATCTCCAGAGTTTCTGTGGGGTTGATTTTTGGGAAAGGAGCCAGGCAACCCCTGCCGTTCACCCCCTTGGCAGGAAGCAGAACCCCAGTGTTCTGCGTTCATTCCATGCTCCCTGTGGCCCTGTCAGACGTAGAAATGTGCACGCAGTGGTCCTTCTCCTAAAGGTACAGAATAGAGGGTATTGGTGCGTAATAGTTTATTTTTACCTGTTCCAGTTTCTAGGTGGTGAATGATAACAGCTGAGACTAAATAAGAAAGGGAATACATTGAGCCTACTAATTTTAACACTCAGTATTTAAATGATTTTCCTATTGCTTGTGAAATGCCACATCTTTTCTGTTTTATATTCCTATTCAATTATATGTTTAATAAAAATATCACTTAATTTTAACAGCTTAACCAGAAAGAAACAGGAAATTTATTGTAATGTAATACATTTCCATGTTTTATATTTCAGAACTACCTTATTTTTAATCCAACGAATAATAAAGAACTGGTGAGCAATAGTAAAACACAGGCAATATATTATTTGTGGGTAAGTAGAAATATTTTTATTTGTTTTTTGTTTTTGTTTTTAGTTCTCACCTGAGGACATGCCTTTGTTGATTTGAGAGAGAGAGGAAGGGAGAGGGAGAGAGAGAGAAAGGTCAATGTGAGAATGAAATTTGATCGGTTGCCTCCCTCACGTGCCCTGACCTGGGATCCAACCTGTGACCTTTTGGTGTTCGGGGTGATGTTCAAACCAGCTGAGCCACACTGGCCAGGGCCCGATCTGTTTTGAATGTATGAACAAGTACATGTTCATTTTTTTTTAGTACAGATGTTTTGGTACTGTAACAATATTGTATTGGCTTAGGAATCAATAAGTGTATATTAAAATGTTTTGATTTAATTATAGCATTTATTTTAGTCACATTAAAATTAGCACTTTAAATCAGAAGTAGGTATTTTAAATTAAATTAAAAAAAATTTTTTTTAGAAAGAATTTTTTTTTATCCTCACTCGTGGACATTTTTGCATTTATCTCCAGATAGAGCTGGAGAGATGCGGGGAAAAGAGAGAGACACATCGAGTGGCTGCCTCCCACACGACCCCAGCCAGGGCCGGGGACGAACTACATGTGCCCTTAGCGGGAACCGAACCCGGGACTTTCTGGTCCGCGGGCCGACGCTCTAACCGCTGAGCCAAACCGGCCAGGGCAAGAATTTTTTTTTTAATCCTCAATCAAGGACATCTGTGCATTTATCTTCAGATAGAGCAGGAGGGAGGGAGAGAGAGAGAAAAACATCGATGTGAGAGAGACACATTGACTGGTTGCCACCCACACGACCCCAACCGGGCCGGGGACGAACTGAAAGTTTACTCCCATGAGGTACGTGCCCTTAGCAGGAACTAAACCCCGGGCTCTCTGGTCCACGAGCTGACGTTCTAACTGCTGAGCCAAACTGGCCAGGGCAATTTCATTTAATTTTTTAAGTAATGAGGCAAATATGTGAAAATATTTAACAGGTCTAAAATATAGGATTTTTTTTTTTTTTGAGATCTTGGACTTTATTTCCTTTTAGAAAAGAATTAGAAAATAGATCAGCAATATATATACTGACACAGGACAAAATCATGAGATTTAACATCTAAAGTTAAACATAAAATTACCATATGAGTCAGCAATTCCTAGGTATTTCCTCGAAAGCAGTGAAAACAGACAAAAATACTCATACACAAATGTTCACAAGCAGCAGCTGTATCCGCAATAACCAAAAGGTTGAGCCGAACCAAATGTCCATCAACAGATGAATGAATAAACAAAATGTGGTCCATCCACTCAATGGAATATTATTTAGCCACGAAAAGGAACGAAGTGTTGGTTCATCCTACAATGTGGATGAACCTTGGAAACATGATGCTGAGTGAAAGAAGCCAGACACCAAAAGTCACCTAGTGTAAGATTTCATTTACATGAAATGTCCAGAATAGGTAAAGCCATGGAGACAGAACGCGGAACGGTGATGTGTGGGGTGGAGATGGAATGCTTAATGGGTAGGGGCTTCCTTTTGGGGAGATGAAAGTGTCCCGGAGCGAGACAGAATGGTCGGTGCACAGCATCATCAACACACTAAATGCCATCCAGTCGTACACTTTAAAAATGGTTAATGGTTGATTTTATGTTATGGGAACTTTACCTCAATAAGAGATTGCAGTCAATAACAATTGCTGATTGCTGATTTTCAGCGATAGTTATTACTTCAGGTATTTCTGATAGCTTGAAAGCCTTATGAATATAGACTTCATTGGCCTGAGCTACCATTTCAAGTCACAATCATTTGTGGCATCTTTTTAAAAAAGTGTTTGCTCTCCTCACTGAATGTTCTCAGCTGTCCCTGGAGCCGCAGGTTCTCTGACCTTAGAGGCTGCACAGCTCTGACCCTGCCGAGGAGCATCGGTTTGGGCTTTGTTGTTCTGTGGTCTCTCCTTTCGGAAACCAGGCCTCTTCCCAGTGGTGGTGATTTGTTTTTTTCTGTGCTTCCCAGTATGAAGAAGGAGGTATACTTACTCACAGTGCCCCGCTTTTGACAGAAAAAGTGAGTATGCCTGTCGCTTTTTTATACACCTGATCTTGTGGAGAATAAGCACGTAAGTGTACGCTTGGTCACTGTGTGTCTCAATACTGGGAAATAATTTGAAGATTTTAGTTGGGCCCTTTACCATACTGAATTTGTCAAATGAAAAGAATGGAAGTACTGTTAGAAATAAAATGTTACAGAAAAGAAAGTTTACTCCCATGAGAAAATACCCGAGAAAAGTGATGGCTGGTAGAAGGTATGTGTGCGGAGGACAAAGAAGGGACGCTAGCAGGGAGTCCCGTAGAGAGTAGCTAGCCGCACGGCAGAGTAGCTAGCGCCAGTGTTCAGGGTAATACAAGCAATATTGGGTATTGAGATGTTTGAGAGCCAGTGGAAAAGTGGTGACCAGGTGCTGGAGGAAACACCTACCTTGCTGCTTCCCTGAAGCGACTGCTTGTGAGGTGGGACTGGTCTGTCTCCCGCAGCCCTCCCTGACCCGAGAGCCCGGTAATCCACTCCCTGAGAACCACCCGCTGTTCTTCTGCGCCTGTCTTCACTCTCGGTCTGACTCGCAGAAATTCAGTTTTGAAGCGGGCGTGCCAAACAACGAGAAAGAGGAGGCGGGTGGACATGGGAAAGACGGCCCTGTCTGCAGTCTTTCGTAGACCAGAGTATCGGCAAACCCGTCGGTTCCAGTTACCCGCAGTCCTGTCCCTCGAGTCCGCAGTTTGAAATGATACAAGGGCCTCGTAGTGAAACAGGGCCGCTCTTAGAACACCCAGGGCCCTTGCTTAACCAGCTGCTCTTTTCCCGACCCCTTGTGTTCAGGTCAGAAGAGGTAAAGCCTAGGATGTCCTCCGCCTAACTAGACGAGTGGGTGGCAGACATCCCGTGTCATGTGACAGACTTCGATTTTCTTTCGTTCATCCGTCTTCCGAACACCTGCCGCGGGTTCTGTCTCCCTCCTGAGGCGCTGTCTCCCGGAAGGCGGCCCAGCGCCTTATTTTACCAGCACAGACTTAACAAGGGCCCCGACGGGCACTCTGTGCACAGGGCTTAGTTGTTCTGATGAGAGAGTAACTTACGATCACGAGGAGACCGGGAGAGTTGTCTCATGGTGTCTCAAGCTGGGGTGTGGTTTGGTGCACGGCCGACATCAGTTTCCCATCAGTCTCCGGAACCTCAGTGAGAAGTCTGAGCGGGTGTGAACAGAGACGGACCGCTCTGCCACTGGCTCTAAGGACGGAGCGCACACCCTCTACCTGATCCTCCTTGGCAGGTGCCGGCACAACTGCCCGGACCAGGACAGTCCACGAGGGGAGTGTGTTTTAGGGACTGCTTTTTTTCTTTACTTTTTCTACTGTATTCCAGTATAATGTGATAAAACGCCGCATGTTGATAAGTGCTTTGTTTTGTATGTATTGCCAGTGGTAACTACTCGTATCCTGCCTTTTGAAACGCAGACATTCAACAAGCTCGTGGGAAAGTTTAGCCAGTCCGTCTTCCATGTGAACCTCACACAAGTGCTGTCGGCAACCATGGAAGGGAAGCTGGTCGTCTGGGATGTACACCGCCCGCCGCCCTCTGCCTCTCTGGCCTTTCCCTACATCAAACCTTGTAAACTGGTTCATCTGCAGAAAGAGGGTATCACCGTGCTCACTACAGTGGACAGGTGATTAACGTAACTAAAAAGTAGCTATAGATGATTATGAAAGTATTTTAAAGTCCTTTTAATATATATATATTTTTAAAATCCTCACCTGAGGATATTTTTCCATTTATCTTCAGATAGAGTGGGAGGGAGGGAGGGAGGAAAACATCGATGTGAAAGAGACTCATCGATTGGTTGCCTCCCGCATGACCCCAGCCAGGGCCAGGGACCCAGCCGCCTCCGGGGCACATGCCCTTGACTGGAATTGAACCCGAGACTCTGGTCTGTGGGCCGATGCTCTAACCACGGAGCCAAACCAGCCAGGGCTATACCTGTATTTTGTATATGCATAAAATATTCCCAGGGAAATTAGCCCCTAAGGAAAAGAACTGAGAGCCAGAATCAAGGATGGGGGTGAGTTTACTTCTTTTTAGTCTCATTTGTGCTAATTGGTTTGCTTTTTTCTTTGTTAATCATAGGCATGTATTACTTTTTAAAAATCCCTTTGTGTTGGTGAAACAAAAAGTAACTGTTTTTTTTTTTCCTTCTGTACTAAATAGACTTATTTTGCACCCTAAATTTTTCATACTTTAAGAAAATCACATGAATAGCTATATTTTTTACTGCTTACAAAATAGCATGTATCCGTTATGGGAAGATGAAGTACAGCAGAACTTCATAAAGTTCACTAACTCTGATTTTGAGAGGCTGTGTCGGGGGCTCATAGATGATCATCAAAAGCCTTTGCCTCAGCCTGGCCCATGTGGCTCAGTGGATTGAGCGTCGTCCCATGGACTGAGAGGTCCCAGTTCGATTCCCGGTCAGGGCACATGCCAGGGTTGTGGGCTCGATTCCCGGTGGAGAACGTGCAGGAGGCAGCTGGTTGATGTATCTCTCTCACATCAATGTTTCTCTCTCTCTCTCTTCCTTCCTCTTTCTCTAAAAAAATCAATAAAAAAAACTTATTTTTTTTTAAAAAAGCCTTCACTTCAGAGAGAAAGAGGTTCACATTCCAGCTACACCCCTATCTTGCTGAGTGGGCAAGGAACTGAATTTTGTTGAGCCTCCATTTCCTGTCTGTAAAACGGGCACCACAGCAGTACCCATCTCCGAGCGATTTTATGAGGATGTAGCGGGACCAGGCGTGTAACACTCTCAGCACAGTGCCCGACACGGCACAGCTCCAGGTCGCATAGTCATGGTTCGTGTGCTAGAGAGGGCCCCAAGAAGGACGGAGGACATTCCCCAGGACCAGGTCCCTGCCCATGTGGCTGGAGTCGCTGTGCCGCCTGCTTTCCGGAAGCCCTCGCCTCGCCTCTTCCTTCAGCTTCAGTACAGGGACAGCGAGGCCTTACAAAGAGAAATGCAAATCGTCACCCTCACTCGGCGGTGCGAAGAGATAGCGGAGGATTTCAGTTGACAGGCAATCAACCTTGAATTAGTTGGGGGTTAGAGCCCGGTCAAGACCGGGCCTTGCTCCCGTCTCTCCATGTTAAATATGTTAAATGAAACCCAGCCAGGACCAGGGAGCCCAAGAAGGGAAAGGTCTGTTTTACCGTTTCTGTCCAGCAGAGGGCAGTGAGAGACGTTTTCGCCAATTACTCTGCCCACCTGCCTTGCTTATTAATCAGAAACCTCATTTACTCACTTTGCATATGTAAGAGGAATTCACCCCCTGTCTCCCCTGTGATAAGAATTACGTCAGAGGCTTAAAAACAGCCACGTTGTCACGCATCTCTGCCTGTGGCTGCGATGGCTGGACAGGGTTCACCATCCCTCTAACAGTAGTGTCTTCTTGTAAAGTGGTCTGTGCCCCGTTGGCAGCCTGTGTGACTCCGGAGGGCTGGTAGGTAGACGGTGGCATCTTTGGTCTTGTAGAGGAGACTGTGAGTCACTGTGGCTGATCTTGGAGAGCGGGGAATGAGAGCAGAGAGCACGGACTTCCTGTTAGATACGCCTGGACCCCTGCAAAGTCTCGCCACGTGACCCTGAAAGGGTGGCGGCATAAGTATGTCCCATGCAGCACTGGGGACAGACTGACACTGGAAGATCACTCCTCGTTTACCTGAGATTCAAATTTAACTGAGCATCCTGCATTTCTGTTCACTAAACCTGTCATCCCCAGCCCTTGAGCGAGTGTCGTAACTTCTCCAGGCCTCAGTTTCCTGGATGTTAAGGGAATAAGAGTAATACCAGCCTCGCAGGGAGAGAATTAAGTGAAGCTTTTACAGCGCCCGGAGTCCAGAGCCTGACACATAATTAAGTGTTCAGATGGTACTCAGGCCCTGGCTGGGTAGCTCAGTTGATTGGAGTGTCATCCCAATACACCAAGGTTGTGGGTTTGATCCCCGGTCAGGGCACATACGAGAATCAACCAATGAATTTATCAATAAGTGGAACAACAAGTCGATGTTTCTCTCTCTTTCTCTCCCTTTCTCTCTTTCTAAAACCAATTAAAAATTTTTTTAAATTAAAAAATAGATGGTACTTGTTACTATTATTTAACTCTTTTCCATTTCAGCTACATCGTCACAGGTGATATTAAGGGTAACATTAAGTTCTATGACCACACCCTGTCCATTGTGAACTGGTACAGCCACTTCAAACTGAGCTCCATACGAGTGCTGTCCTTTTCAAAGACCCCGGCAACTCCTCCTACCGAAACATCAAACTATCCTCTGGACTGCACTCTGAGGCACGGCCCCTTCGTCGTCAGGTGAGCTGTGAATGCGTTGTTGGAAGGGCCGGAAGTGACTGGGTGTCCCTCCGAGTCTGCGTGCCCTGGAAGGCTCGTCTTGTTCCTGGGATGTGGACTGAGGGGGAACTGGCCTTCCTCGCCAGTCCTTTACCTGGCTCGTAGATGGCGCTCTTGGCCTGATTACAATTACTAATCTTTTTTTTTTCTTATCCTCACCTGAGGACATTTTTCCATTTTCTATTCAGATAGAGCGGGAAGGAGAGAGAGAGAGAGAGAGAGAAACATCGATGTGACAGGGACACATCAAGTGGCTGCCACTTGCACGATCCAACCAGTGCTGGGGACAAACTGCAACTGAAGTACATACCCTTAGCTGGAACCGACCCGGGTCTCTCCAGACCGCAGGCCGACGCTCTAACCGCGGAGCCAAACCGGCCAGGGCTACAAATCGTTTTTTAAAATGAAACATCATCTCCATACGAAGACGTTAGTGACAGGGAGCTGGAAGGGGCATCCCTGAGCTCTCATCTCTGCTGTCTGGAGCCCTTTGCTTGTAGGTTGCTCTCTCACCCTCGACTTTGTCCTGGCAACACAGTCAAAGGCCTTTGATAATTAATAGCCATAACATCTCAAGACGGAATCCTCTGTGCGTCTGCTCAATCACCCTCGCAGTATCTGCAGGCGCGGCTGTGTGTGCACCCAGCTCCATATTTGCATACACAAATGAATATTTGCATGTGCAGATTAGCTAATTGTACAACTGACTGTCCATCTGCATGCTTAATGACTCAATTTACATGTAGAAATGCGGGCTTTTTCACTTGCAAATGGAGGCTGTTGGGTATCTGTGGTATATTTTTGGAGACACTGGGTTAATAATGTCACTAAATTACAGACGACAGAGGCGTTTCGTGTGCAATTAGCAGCAGCACGCTGGCGGGTGCGCCCGTCCCTTACAGACACTGCCGCTGCTCTGTCTCTCCTTGGCCAACAGGAATCTTGTCATTGGAACATCTGATGCGACCGTGTACCACTTAAAGGCAGACGAGACCAAACTGGAGAAGTTACTCATAGAGCCCAAGGAAGCCGTCGGTGCCATCGCCTGCCACCCGTATCAGCCCCTCATCTCCATCGGGAGCTTCTGTGGGTTGATCAAAGTGTGGCATTATGAAGAGAAAAAATACCTCTTCAGCAGGGTCTTCGCGAAGGGGCTTGGAATCCAGAGTCTGAGCTACAATCCTGAAGGTATTTTCATTGTACCAGCCTATCTTAGGCTCTAAATCGAAACAGACCCAAATGGCTCTGGCCCTGGCTGTCACCGCTCCTGGGAGTTAGTTCACCTTGACCCACGCCCGCCAGGCTTGATGAGACATCTTCTCCCCTGGATCCTGCAGCCCTCTGTGCTTGGACGTATCTGAGCCCTCATCCCAGGCTGTTGGACTTTTCCGTTTATTCCCTCCTTCTGGGGACCTGGGCTGTCACATTCATCACTGCCTCCTTGGCACCTCGCACAAGGCCTGGCACGGAGTCTGTGTTTCTTAAATGAACGAAACCCTTTCTGATCACTGTTCTCTGGCTTGTGATTGCAGGAGCCCTCCTTGGAGCTGGCTTCACAGAGGGGACAGTGTGCATCCTTGATGCAATGTCCTTAGAAAACGCTATCCCAGAGCCTTTCAAATATTCCAGAACAAGCGTGACTCACATAAGCTTCTCCCACGACTCCACGTATATGGCGACGGCCGTAAGTGTTTGCACCGAGAGCCGTCCTGTGGTTTTATTAGTCCTCACCCCAGGATATTTTCCCATTAATTTTTAGATAGAGTGGAAGGGAGGTGGGGGTGGAGGGGAGAGAGAAACATTGATGAGAGAGACACATCGATTGATTGCCTCTTGCATGACCCCAACCCGGGCCAAGTGTTGAACCTGCAACCCAGGCATGTGCCCTTGACCAGGAATCAAACCCACGACTCTGGTCAGTGGGCCAGTGCTCTAACTGCTGAGCCAAGCCAGCAAGGGCTGTCTGTAGTTTTAGCAGTCTTATTTAAAACCCAAAGAGAGAGGGGGCCGAAGGGCTGGGGAGTGACTGTTACAGGGCACAGGGGCCAAAGGGCTGGGGAGTGACTGTTACAGGGCGGGGGGGGGGTGGCGAAGGGCTGGGGAGTGCTGTTCCAGGGCATGGGGGGGGGGGGGGGGCGAAGGGCTGGGCAGTGCTGTTCCAGGGCACGGGCTTTCTTTTTGGAGTGATGGAAATACTCTAAAATTGTGATGATGGGTGTACAACTCTGAATATACTAAAACCCATTGGACTGTACACTTTACTTTTTATTTATTTTTATTGATTTTAGAGAGAGAGGGAAGGGGAGAGAAAGAGAAACATTGATTTGTTGTTCCACTTACGCATTCATTGGTTGATTCTTGTATGTGCCCTGCCTGGGGATCGAACCCGCAACCTTGGTGTACTGTAACGAGGCTCTAACCAGCTGAGCTACCCAGTCAGGGCAATAATGATGATTTTTAAGTTACAAAATATAAAAAGGAGTAACTTTCGTTCTTTTGCTAATATTTTAGGATGCAAATTTTACTGTGGCCGTTTACATGGTCAAGGTAAAAAATGGACAGAGGGTCTGGGAATATTTGGCAAGACTTCGTTCTCATCGCAAAAGCATTCGAAGTCTCCTGTTCGGGGTTTTTCTGGACAGCAATGAGCCTAGACTGCTGAGCCTCGGCAGAGACAGATTATTGGTGAGCTGCTTAGTGCTCCTTCAGCTGGCCACCAGGACGCGTCCCATTCTCGTTACATCCTGGGGCCTGGCACGGAGCTGCGTCCAGAGTATGTGTGTGTGTCGGAGAGAATTTTGACTGTGCCACGAAGTGGCGTAAACCTCTCTGAGTCGGCACTTGGTCTTAACACGGCGCTGACACTACGCCGGCCTCTTGTCCTGAGTGAGGAGGCTTCTGGGAAGCAGCACCTCGGGCGCAGGAAGGTGGTGCAGCCCACAGCATGGCAGACCCGCCACCCTGGCCTCTCAGTGTGGTGTGGGGCTGCGGACAGGCTGTTACCTAAACGTGACAACTAACAGAGGATGTAAGATCAGAGGGAAAGGTGGGGACAATGGCAAATGCGATGTAACGTGATCAAGCCAAAAGGATTTAGAAGCCATCAGTCTATGTATCTGTCCCTCCATCTTAACTTCTTCCCTTCCCTTCCTTCCTTTATTCTATCCCCACACCCACCCACCCATCCTTCCATCCTGGTCTGGCCACCAAAGCCTACCTATGGGTGACGCTCAGCAGGCTGCTAATTTATGACTGTCAAGGGCTGAGATTTAGGGATGAATTAGTCCTACCCTGGAACGGTTCCCAAGATAATGGAAAGTGAAGCAATATAACCTAACTATACGAGTTCAGGTTTTCGAGTCAGTTGGACCTAAATTTGAATCCTTACCCTACCGCTTTTTGGCTGTGTGACCTTGGGCAAGCCCCTGAACCTCTCTGAACATTGGTTTTCTCGTCTGAAAAAGTGACACAGCAGCACTACTTGGCTGGGGAGTCGTGAGCATTAAACAGCACCGTGTTTTAGGGCAGTTGGCTCTCCCTTTGCTCTTGAGGAGTACTCCCTCATGGTAGCTTATTAGGCGAAGGGTCCGGTCCAGGCTTTTCTCAGCAGATCTGATACTGTCTCCTGTTAGAACAGGACTGTGGGCTGATTTCATTCAGCTCGGCTTTCCTGTGTCCATGGGCTCCTCTGCAGATCGAGTATAATCTTCTCAAGAGCACCAAAGACCACCTGGACGTCCTGGACATCCACCAGACTGACCAGGGCAACCACCCCACCTGCATGATCTGGTACCCGCCACTCACCAAGGAACTCTTCCTGCTCATCTGCAACACCGGCTACAAAGTGAAGCTGTTCAACTCCACCACCAAAATGTGCAGGTACGCCGGGAGCTCCCCGAGCCCGGGTCGCTTTCTCAGCCCCTGGCCTACTTCAGGTCCTAACGGATACTCCGGCTTCCATTGTCATCACTGGTTCTGCAGGGAGGAAACGGGGGCCCAGATAAGGTCAGTCATTTTCACGCTGGTCACGTGGCTGGGAAGGGCCAGAGGCAGGATTCAGGCCCAGACCCCCCTCCACCCGGCCCCTGCCCCGCCCCGCTCAGCGCCTGAGACTCAGGGAAGGGACAAGAAAAGTCGCTGATGCTCTATAAAACCTGTTCTTCCTTCGTGGATGAAAACAGGTGCTTTCACTTGGGTGCTACCCCTTGTGTGACTTTTTTTCCTCTTGGTTCGGAAAGGAGTTTTTCAGTTCACCCAGTTGCCTTCCTTTGTATTTCCTGAGCCCCTGCGTGAGCCAGGTGCTGTTCTAGGTGCTGAAGGTGAGGACGAAAACAAGGTTTCTCTCGCCCTGGAGTTTACATTTTAATGGGGGAGTGGAGTTCATGGGAGAGGCTGGGCCTGAGATCCAACCTGCGACTCTCTGGTCAGCTGGCTGACGCTCCAGCCGCTGAGCCAAACTTGCCAGCCAGGGCTGGACACAAACGTTTTGGCGGGAACCGAACCCAGGTCTCTCGGGACCGTAGGCTGATGCTCTAACCGCTGAGCCAAACCGGCCAGGGCTGGACACAAACGTTTTGGACAAAGAATATCCTACAGACATGCCCAGTCCTGAGAAAATTGGAGTTTACTGAGCAAGTGGATTGGAGTCGGAGGGCACCAGGCTTGAAGTGCCTGCTGTCAGTTACTAACCAGGGACTTGAGTCACCCACTCGGAGTTTGTGCACTTGAAAACCAACCTGGAATGAGCAGAAAGCATCCTTCATTCACTCATTCATTCATTCATTTATTATTTTTAAAATCCTCAGGATATTTTTCCATTAACCTTAGCGTGGGAGGGAGGGAGAGAGAGCGAGCAAAAGAGAAACATCAATGAGAAAGAGACACGTCGATTGATTGTCTCCCGCATGACTCCAACCAGGGCTGGGGATCGAATCACAACCAAGGTACATGCCCTTGACCAGAATTGAACCTGCGACTCTTTGGTCCACAGGCAGACACTCTAACCACTGAAGCAAAGGGCCAGGGCAGAAAGCATCCTTCTTAAGAAACAGTGTATCAAGGGGGAAATTCTCATAACATAAAACTAACCATTTTAAAGTGAACAAGTATGGGGTACTTAGTCTATTTATTCACAGTGTTGTACAACCACCACCTCTAGTTCCAGAACATTTCCATCCTTCCCAGTAAAACCCCTTGCAAAAAGGTCAGTTGCAGGGATATTAAAGCCTTGTGACCACACCTTAACTGGGAAGGAATTCTTTTCATGATAAGTCCAAAACAATTGAAAAATGCATTTAAAAATATTTAAAGGAACATGAAAAGGCACTTCACAGAAAAAGGCCAGTAAACCTACGAGCAGATGCTCATTGATACATCACAGATGCAAATGAAAGCAAGACACCGTTTTCACAAATCAGATTAGCAAAGATAAAAATGATCGATTGCACCTGGTGTTGGCAAGGGAACAAGAGGAAGGGCGCTTCTCCCCAGCTGCTGCTGCCGGGGGTGGAAATCGGGGCGACCTTTGGGAGAGCAATTCGTTACCCTCGATTAAATTCGATCATATCTGTGACTTCTAGGAATGCAGCCTGCAGAAGGGCTCACAGTTTGCCAAGACATAAGTCAAAGGATGTCTTGTTTGAAAATATTTTTTTAAATGGAAACAGTCCAAATGACCATTAACAGAGGATTAGTTAAATGGTAGCTTGTTAGTGCACTGAAACACGATGCTGCTTTTATTTATTTTTCAAATATTTTTTATTAATTAAATTTAGATAGAGAAGGGAAGGGGGAGAGAGAAACATCGATTTGTTGTTTCACTTGGTTATGCATTCATTGGTTGCTTCTTGTATGTGCCCTGACCAGAGATTGAACCTGCAACCTTGGCGTGTAGGGACAGCGCTCTAACCAACTGAGCTACGCAGCAATGGCCAGCACAATGCTGCTTTCGGAAAAGGAGAAGAAGAAAAAAAAACAAAGATAAGCTCTCTGCATAGAAACATGGAAATATCTCCAAGATATAACATGAGATGAAGCAACTTGCCAAATAAGTGTGAATATATTTTCATATAAAATTACACTTACATCATTTATATTTTTCCATATAAAATTATAATTTCCTGGTTGGTGTGGCTCAGTGGTTGAGCGTCAACCCATGCATGCACCAAGAGGTCGCTGGTTCAATTCCCGGTCAGGGCACATGCCCAGGTTGTGGGCCCGATCCCCAGTGGGGGGCACGCAGGAGGCACCCAATCAGTATTCTCTCTCATCAATGTTTCTATCTCTCTCTCTCCTTCCCTCTTTCTCTAAAAAATCAATAAAGAAGGCCCTGGCTGATTTTGCTCAGTGGTTAGTGTCAGTAATTTAAAATTATAATTATGTATGTAGATTAGACTATATATAGAAATAAAATTCTCGAGTCATATACACCAAACCACTCCCACGATTATCTTGGGATAAAGGGGACAGCAATGTGGTTACAGCTAGATTTTCTGCTTGAGCCTGACATGTCTGAAATTTTCCCCAATAAACATGTAATACTTTTTCAATCAGAAGAAAAATGTTAATCTTATGAACTTGTTAGACATTTAACGAGACCAGGTCATAGTTATATAGCTCCTGCCATGTGCTTTATATGTATTAACTTACTCAATGCTCACCACGGTCTCGGGGGGTAGGGACCCCCTTTCCTCTGTGTTACCAAGGAGGAGCCTGAGGCCCAGGTCAAATTGCTCGACCTAATTTGTTTGTTTATAATTTAAATTAACATATAATTCACATACCATAAACTTTACCTTTTTTCCCCAAAGGTTTTGACTATATTCATGAAGTTGCACAACCATCACCACTCTCTAGTTCAACCAAATCTCACTCATTTCTGTGTCCCAAGCACCTACCGTGGTGCCAAAACAGGCTGTCGAGTGGATTTGCTCATCATTTACTCAGTGCATATACCTGGAGCATGTACTGTTCCCGCCAGACGCGGCCGGGGACAGGGCACAGGGAGAGCACAGGCCCCGGTGTGAGGGCTCCAGCTGGGCTGAGGTGGAACAGCCACCGGCTTCACACAGGGGCCTCCAGGAACTGGGGTGAGAAGTGTATTTGATGCTGTGGTCCTCGTTTTCTTTCTTTTTTTTTTATCCTCACCTGAGGACATTTTTCTTTTCTTTTTTTTTTTTATCATCCTCACCCGAGGACACCTTTCCATCCTTTGTTCAGGTAGAGTGGGAGGGAGAGAGAGGAACAAAGAGAGAGAGAAAAATCGACGTGAAAGGGACACGACGAGCGGTCGCCACCCGCACAACCAACCAGGGCCGGGGACAAACTGCAACCGAGGTACGTGCCCTTAGCGGGAACCGAACCCGGGTCTCTCTGGACCGTAGCCCCCAACGCTCTAACTGCTGAGCCAAACTGGCCAGGGCTCTTTTTCTTTTTTTTATAAAAAAGCTACATAATTAAGAATAAAAAATGGCTAGATCCCTGTTGGGTGTGGCTCAGTTGGTTGGAGGGTCATCTTGTCCACCGAAGGGTCATGGGTTCAGTCCCCTGTCGGGGCACATACGCAAGGCAACTGATGGATGTTTCGCTCTTGCATCGACGTCTCTCTCCCACCCCTCTCCTCTCTCTCTAAAATCAACGAGGGAAAGTCCTCCAGTGAGGATTAAACACACACACACACACAAGCCTCAGGCGTGAGTGTGCGGGGTCCTGAGGCTCCGGGACAACCCAGCTCTGGGCTGGAAGTCACGTCTGGGTCCTCACCTCAGATCCACGAATTAAAGGCTGCCCGTTGTGGGGTGACGATTGGCAGCAGGCTGTTTGGAAATCTGTGTGATGCGCAGAGGCCCAGGCATCCGATGCGTGGAACAGCGGCGGCGCCCCATTCTGGTCTCTCAGCCAGTCCCCGGGGAAGAGGCGTCTGATCGCACCCTGCCGACGGGTCACCTCCTCGCCGCCTCGGTTTTCCTGTCCCCGGTTCACATTTTCGAGGCACAGTGTTCCCTCCACTCGGCTGTCAAGGAGGCCAGCGGAGCCTCGGCCGCTGAAAGCATTCTTCACGGTCGGCTCCCCTGGGCCCCTGTGTTCGAGCCCTTGCCCCTCGTTACGGAAGCCGTGAGCGGCAGAGGGCTTCTCGGGCGGGGCCCCGCTGAGTGACAAGACGCATCCAGAGTTCAGAATGTGCAGGGTGTCATGAAAGGTGGCTAGTCAAACCCGTGCTCCAGTTTGTGGACTGAAAACAAGGTCTTGTTTCTCCTGCAGAAAGACGCTTCTCGGGCCAGTGTACGGGTCTCCCATGGAGCAGATGCAAGTCCTCCCAGTGAAGACTGCTCTGGACCTGCAGAAACGCTACCTGGTGTTTATCAACAGAGACAAGGTATCTTCTCTGCGCTCCGTCCACCTCTGGAACATGCTTTGTGTATCGTGAGCAGTGAGCAGTCCCAAGTATTGTATCGAGGATGCTGGTTTCCCGGCCACGCTCAGCTCCTCCACCCGGGTCCGCAGTGGTACTGGACACTGCATAGATGAGTGGGGGTGACTCTTAGAAGGCATTTCTGAGCAGACGCATGGTCTACCAAAGGATTTTTTCTTCCCAATTTATTTACGTGGGAAAAAATCCTATAAAGACATACAAATTATGCCTTGGCTGGTTTGGCTTAGCAGTAGAGCATTGGCTCGTGGACCAATGAGTCTCGGGTTCAGCCAAAGGCATGTACCTCAGTTGCGGTTTGCCCCCAGCCCTGGTCAGGGTCGTGTGGGAGGCAACCAGTCAAAGTGTCCCTCTCAGGTCAATGTTTCTCTCTTTCTCCCTTGCTGTCCCTCTCTCTCCCTCCCACTCTATCTGAAGATAAATAGAAAGATATCCTTGGGTGAGGATTAAAAAAACACAAGACATACAAATTAGTTGAACTTCATTGTACATTTAATGAATGGTCTGTATTAGAAAACATAAAATCATAGGATGTTAGGGTTATTCTGGAGAACTGTGGGCATCCGACTGTGAGGACAGGAGGAGAGCTCCCCGCTGTGTCCCTGCTGGAACCTGGTTTCTCCCCTAGGGACCCCCGCGGGGGTCAGTGCGTGCAAGCCCTCCACCACGGGAACGCGGCCGCACACGCCGGGCCTGGCCCGGGCCGGCCCTCTGCGCCCGCGCATCCATTACATGCTCCTTTCCAGGTTGGACTTCAGATCTTACCCATCGACGGCAATCCCCATAAGACGTCTGCTATCGTCTGCCACCCAAACGGGACGGCGGGACTGGCCCTCTCCCATGACGGCCGTTACGTCTTCACCTCGGGGGGACAGGATCGGTCGGTGGTACAGTGGGCAGTCCACCTAAGGTAGGTGATGGCCAAGAAGCTTGGCCCGTGAGGGTGTTTAACTCAGCAACTGCAGACAGGTGTTAAACCCCGACTGCGCGCCCGGCCCGCAGGTGCAGAGCTGACGATGACTCGGGCCTTACCTACAGGTCGTTCCCTGTGACGTCTGTGCATATTCACGCGGACTCAGAAGCTTGCTGCTCTGTCTCAGGGACGATGGTCTCTGTGGTCAAGGTGGTGTGATTCCACCTTGTGCCCCCGTGGTCCGAAATGCCTCTCCCTCTGTCGCTGGCAAATCCACACCGGCTGGACAGATCGGGCCCAGACCTCCGAAGCGTGTGTTACAGAAATGGTGAGATTGTTGGAAAGAGGTGTTTCAGTCTCCTCTCCTCAGCCCTCTGCCCTGAGCTGTCCCACCCAGGACACGTCTGGGGAATCCCACGAGCATCAGAGAGTGTGTGGTGTTGAGGGCAAAGAGCCGTGGGTTCGAATTTGAAGTCTCGTCTCTGCTGGCTGTGGGTCCCAGGGCAGCTTTCCCAACATCTCTGGGTTTAGACTCCCTGCCTGTGAAACAGGGGTAACCCAGGGGCTTCACCGGATCCTGGAACCATCAGTAGGTTAATAAATACGAAGCACGCAGCACAGAGCTAAGGACTCAGTAAATGAACAAGTGCTTCTTCCTTGTGAAGCGTTTGCTTCTGAGCCCAGGATCTTAGGAAAAGAAGGGCCAGCCCTGCGGCGATCCCGTCACGTCCCCAGATTCCGTGAGCTGCTGGCTCCTGTCCCTGCCCCTCGATGGCCCTCTGCCGCCAGTGCCGCAGGGAGCAGCCGGGCGAAAGCGGCTCGGAGGCACTTCCTCCTGCAGAGAACGAACCCCGTTCGTGGCTCCCCGTGACCGTGTGCCTGTGCCGCCTGCCAGGGCAGGCCCCTCGCCCCGGGCGGACATTGACGCTTCTCCTCGTACCCTGAATATGAGCAAACGTAGCCGTGTAAATCCAGTTCGCCGTTGACATAGTTTCAGGTTGCAGTTGCTACTCTGACCTTCGCCTGCGAGCACAGAGCTTGGGAATGGGGGAGCTTGGAAGCTGGAGGTGAGCTCTCCGGTGGACTCGCTCCTTGCTTCCTGACACTCGCCTGTTCCCTGGAGCTGGGCAGGGGACAGAATCTTCCCTTTCGCCCTTCTCAGTCATTTTGGGATCTGGAATGGTGAAGATCGAAAATAAAATAAAGCCCTGGCCAGTTTGGCTCAGCGGTTAGAGCGTCAGCCCATGGACCAGAGAGTCCTGGGTTCAGGTTCCGCTAAGGGCATGTACCTCGGTTGCAGTTTATCCCCGGCCCCGGTTGGGGTCATGTGGGTGGCAGCCACTCCATGTGTCTCTCTCACGTCGATGTTTCTCTCTCTCCCTCCCTCCAGCTCAATCTGAAGTTAAATGCAAACAAACAAAAAAAGTCCTCAGGGGAGGATAAAAAAATAAAATAAAATAACGGGGTAGGCACTTTCCAGTAGCTTCCTGGGCCTGGCCGGATCCAGGCTTCTGAGGATTTCTGTTTAATCTGTTGTGGGGACAAAGGATCATTATAAACTAATTAGCACTTCGTCGCTGCTTCTGGTCGTGATATGTTCAGGCTTCGCTAATGGGAGAAGGTGCAGAAACCCTCAAGTACACAGAATCCGCTGCCAGCTCCGCGGTGGGAGTCGTGGGATGAAACAGAGATGCGGGACCCTGGTGTTCCGGGCGTTCTAATCAGTGCTCCCCTGGGCCACCCAGCCTTCCCCTGGGGACCCTCTCCCCCGCCCCGGAGTCCATTCCACCTTGCTCCCCGCTCTGCTGGCCTGCGCCCTTTCCTCTCCTTGTTTGGCATCTGTCTTGAAATCCCCATTACTTAAAAAAAATTTTTTTTTCTCTTTATTGATTTTAGAGAGGAAGGGAGAGGGAGAGAGAGAGAGAAACATCGATGAGAGAGAATGTCGATTGGCTGCCTCCAGCATGCCCCCCACAACCCGGGCGCGTGCCCTGCCTGGGAATTGAACCGGTGGCCTCTTGGTGCAGGGGTTGACACTCAGCCACTGAGCCACGCCAGCCGGGCCCCATGACTTTTATATGCTTCACGCCCGCCTGTCATCCCGCTGCCCTGCTCAGACGAGAGCAGAACGACCCAGATTCAAATCCCGCCTTCCCTGTCTACCTGCTGTGGGACCTCAGGCAAGGCCTTTAACTTCTCTGAGCCTTGGTTTCTCCATCTGTTAAATGAGAGTATTATCTCCGAGTTCGGTTGTTGTGAGGGTAACGATTACTGCCCTTGCTGTGACTCCTCTTCTTTCCCTGGGGAGCATTTCCTGATCACTTCCTCTGTGCTGTGACAGAGCGCCCCGCTCTGTGCTGTGACGGAGCGCCCCGCTCTGTGCTGTGTGCCCGCTCTGTGCAGTGTGCCCGCTCTGTGCAGTGTGCCCGCTCTGTGCTGTGACGGAGCGCCCCGCTCTGTGCTGTGACGGGGCGCCCCGCTCTGTGCTGTGTGCCCGCTCTGTGCTGTGACGGAGCGCCCCGCTCTGTGCTGTGACGGGGCGCCCCGCTCTGTGCTGTGTGCCCGCTCTGTGCTGTGTGCCCTCTCTGTGCTGTGACGGGGCGCCCCGCTCTGTGCTGTGTGCCCGCTCTGTGCTGTGTGCCCTCTCTGTGCTGTGACGGGGCGCCCCGCTCTGTGCTGTGTGCCCGCTCTGTGCTGTGACGGGGCGCCCCACTCTGTGCTGTGACGGGGCGCCCCGCTCTGTGCTGTGACGGGGCTCCCCGCTCTGTGCTGTGTCCCCACCATGTGCTGTGACAGTGCCCCCCATTATCTGCTTCTCGAGCTTTGGCTCGTTGCCCAGCAGTACTGTATGTACTCCCAGCACATAGTAGGTCTTCAATAAGTGGACTTCCCTTCTGTGCTCCAGTGACTTGTTTCTGTTGTTGTATGTGTTGGAAACCCAGCTCAGGCATAAAGGGCAGACCTCGGGAAGGTCTCGGGCCTCAGTGAGCGTCCTGCAGGAGGAGCAGGGCCGCGCGCTCGGGGCCCAGCACGTGCTCTGTGCTCAGCTCTGCTCTCCACGTCATTCTCTGTGGGACCGAGTTTGTCACTGGCTGGAGCATGGCCACTGACTGTCCCCGAGTTCCACCGACTGCTGCCCTCACCAAAGAGAGTGCGTCTCTCCCAGCTCTGACTGGAGAAGCCCCAGTCCGTCCCTCTGGCCCTCCCCAGCCGCTCGCCAGTGGCCAGAGCAGGGGACACAGCGTGGTTCCGACCACCAGAGGGCTGTTCGCAGAGAACCCGGAGCTCGCGGGGCCTGTTCCCAGGGTAGTCCCGGCGTTGACAGGCTCCTCCGTGTGGCCGCTGCCTTCACCTGGCCCTCCAGAGCCGCACGGCTGAAGGTGCCGCACTGCCCATAGGCTCTGTGAGCGCTGGGCTGGGCCTGGCCAGGGGCACGGAGACGGAGCCCTCGCAGCTGGTCCCCTGCCTCGCCGGCTGACGTCAGAGCCGAGGGCCCCCGGGCCCCCGGCCCACCCAGAGAACACGCGGCTCCCTCGTGCGGACTCGCGCAGGCCCGACGAGAGGACTGGGGCAGGCGCTTGTCAGTGCCCAGTGCACAAACCACCCTGAACCACGTCTGCTCTGGGCCAGGCCCTGTCCGGCTGCCTTCCGCACACGGTCTGACTCCATCCTCACCGCCGCCCCGTGAGGCAGGGACTGTCGCCATCCCCTTGTGCAGATACGGAGACCAGCTCCGAGGGCTTACGTGACCCCGCAAGCATGGATGGAGTGGGTGGTGGGGTGGGGTTCCCGCTGGCCTTCTGATTCGAGCCCACACCTCTGCAAACATTCACCACCAGACACAGATAAAGGGCTTTGCGTCAAATCCTTAATCACCTTCATGTGTTCAAGTTCTCCCATCAAGACTTTGGGCCGGGCCTGCAATTGTTCCCACTTTCCAGAAGAGGGAACAGGCCCAGGGAGGTTCAGTTACTTGCCCATTGTCACCGCCTTGCAAGCGGCCGAGCCAGGGGTCGTCTGGGTGCCGAGCCGCGCCCTGCTGTGGTCGCACCGCAGCGCGTCAGTAACCCCGGGAGGCCACTGGCCTGATTAGCAGAGAGCCGGGGAGGATTATTATGATCATTTCATAGTATTATTAGCATTGTGTATGAGGCAAAGTCGGTCTCATACAAAAAGTAGGTTTTCTTACCTACAGGGCCTATTTTTGGAAGACCTGACCCTGTGTTAGAGAGCAGAGGGTTATTTTTATCTGACTGGCTTGGGTCCCCTGTGGCCTCCCGCGTTTTCATGGAAGCAATTAGTGCTGGCAGTTCACCTGTACACGCCGTGCCCTTGGCCCTGGCCGTACGCAGACCTAAGTTGCGGGCAGAGCCGCTGTGCCCGGGGGGACTGTGGTGGAGCACACAGGAGCCGGTCTCTCGAGAGACGTGTCCCTCAGCCTGCAGACAGATCGCTGAGCCCGCTCTGTCATCGGCGAGCGGGTGTCCCCCTCACTAAGGCGGGCGACCCGTACCACCGGGTGCCGCACCTGAAGTGGAATTTTTCATTTTCGGCTTCACTGTGGAGGGCGTTTTCTTAGCATGCTCACGGGGACCCACATTATATCTGTGCCGGCATCGCCCCTGGAGGTCCCTGGCGGCCTCCCGGCTGGGGCTGGAGGTGCTGAGCGCTTTCTGACGGTCCCCTTTCTGTTCCTGTTCCAGAGCCCTGGAGGCAGCCGTTTCTCTCGGGGGCCAAGACTTGACTCCGTTCTATAGTCTGGTGTCTGGTGGCAGGGAAGGAAAATTCTACAGGGTAATCATCCTCCCAGTAAACACTGCCCGCCATCTAGTTAAGTTTGCAAAACACATGTGCCCGGGATTAACCCTCTTGCTTTTTTCCAAAGCTTTTTCTCTTTCCCACTGAGCTCAAAATGTACTTTCTAGAAAATGTCCTTGAAGTCTTAATGGATGCTTCAGACTTAAGCCACAGTACATGTTGTGTTTCTATGTTATTTCCACGCAGGAGCTGGAAGACTATTTTTACTATTCTCAGCTCCGTGGTCAAGGTATCGACACAATGGAGGCCAGGAAAGTGTCGGAACACATTTGCCTGTCGGAGCTTCCTTTTGTCATGAGAGCAATCGGCTTTTACCCATCGGAAGAGAAGGTGGGCAGAGCAGAAACACGCACCGCTGTGGGTGTGTTGTTTCTGAGAACGACCTCTGAGAACAATAAGCATAGGTCAGCGTAAACATGTAACATTATTCTTGCATAAGTGGATCAGAAAGAAGGTTCTGGGACGAGCTGATGCACTCCTTAGAAATGGACTCCCGCCCGGCCGGTGTGGCTCAGTGGTGGAGCGTCGACCCTGCACCAAGAGGTCGCCAGTTCGATTCCCGGTCAGGGCACATGCCCAGGTTGTGTGCCAGATCCCCAGTGGGGGGCGTGCAGGAGGGGGTCAATCGATGTTCTCTCTCATTGATGTTTTTATCTCTCTCCCCCTCTCCCTTCCTCTCTCTAAAAAAAAAAATCAATAAAGGGGATAAAAAAGAAAAAACAGACTCCCCAGAAAGATATTTCTAAAAGACAGATTCTTGGATGTTGGTAAGAGCACGGGTTTGGGAATGAGACGTTCTGCCTGGTGCTGGGTGAGGGTTCAAGGAGGCGATGCCCTCGAAGCACTTGGCACAGGAAGAGCTTAGCAAATGTTGAAATTATGATTGTTTCCTGTCTGGTTGCTGCCAGCCTGCCGGTGTGGATGGGGTGCCTCTGGGAGGTGGGTGCTCAGAAGATGTCTCCTCATGACCTCACTAAATACTCCCAGTGGGGTGAGGGGCCTCCAAACGGGACCAGTGGCCCCTCCAGGGAGAGTGTTCTGCACAGAAACTGGCTTCAAATGCAATTGATTAGGTTTCTTCCTGATTCAAGTGTGAACACATTCTCACTGTAGAGAGTTTGAAAAGGATACATAAGTGGGATGAAGAAAATAATTTATAATCCCACTGCACAGACTTAATGGTTATTAGATTTTAAATTATATATATATACATATACATATATATGCATATATATAAAATTTATTTTTAATCCTCACCCAAGGATATTTTTTATTTATCTCAGATAGAGTAGGAGGGAGGAAGGAAAAGAGAAACATCGACATGAGAGAGATACATTGACTGGTTGCCTCCCGCACAACCCAAACAGGGTCGGTGACTAGCCACAATCGAGGTATGTGCCCTTGACCAGAATTGAACCCAAGACACTGGTCCGCGGGCCAATACTCCAACCACTGAGCCAAACTGGCCAGGGCATATATATAAAATATTTTAATTAAAAGAAAAAATTTTAATCCTCACCTGAGGAGATATATATCTATATCTATATATCTATATCTATATCTGTATTTTTTTTTTAATCCTCACCCGAGGACTTTTTTTTTAGATACTTTGTTCAGATAGAGTGGGAGGGAGAGAGAGAGAGAAACATCGATGTGAAAGGGACACATCAAGTGACTGCCACCCGCGTGACCCAACCAGGGCTGGGGACAAACTGCAACCGAGGTACATGCCCTTAGCGGGAACCGAACCCAGGTCTCTTGGGACCGCAGGCTGATGCTCTAACCGCTGAGCCAAACAGTTGACAGCAGAATCACAAGCCCAGAGGCCTGTGGGGTGAATATCAGAAGCGGAAGTCAAATAATCCTGGGCCGGGGCTCCAGCCCACCAGCAGCAGGCCACCCCCATGTCACAGGCCTGGGTGGCAGTGTCATTGGAGGTCCAAGCGCTGTAGGTCTAAATGTTTAAAAGTTATAAATCAAGTCACAAACTGTTGAATAAAAATACCACCCCCCTGCCCTGGCTGGTTTGTCTCAGCTGTTAGAGCATCGGCCCGAGGACCGAATGGTCATAGGTTTGATTCCTGGTCAAAGGCATGTACCTCGGTTGCAGGTTTGATCCCCGGCCCCCGTTGGGGTCATGTGGGAGGCAACCAATCGATGTGTCTCTCTCACATCAAGGGTTCTCTCTCCCCATCCTTTCCACTCTATCTAAAAATCACTGAAAAAATACCCTTGAGTGAGGATTAACCAAAAAAAAATCTCCCCCAGCTGTTCTACCTGTAATACGAGCTGGTTCAAGCGGAGAATTCTGGGTTCTCTGTTTTGTGCTTGGGCGGGCAGCGGGGGGAGGGCCGAGCGGTGCCTACCTGCTGCTCTTCACCCAGCTCCTTCCTCGGCCACGCTTCCAGCCGGTGGGTGCAGGCCCCTCCCAGGAGGACGACTTCTGGAAGAGACCCCCTGCAGGCCCTAGAATGGGCTTGGGTTATTTGGGGGAGGGGAGCATGGGATCTAGACCCTGGGGGTGGGGTAGCCAGAGGTGGCCCTCCAAAGTCCTTGGCCCAGGGCAGGGACCCCCCCTTGCCTGGATGTCATGCTGCCACTGCCAGAGAACACCTTTCTCCGAAGGGGACAGTTTCTTCTCAGCTCCCCTGAATGTAACCATCTGGAAACATAGGCCCACCACCACCAGATGCCTCTGCCATTTCAAGAGCAGTTCAGAATCCAGACTTCTATGTGGCATGTCCCGATTTTCCAGCACCCTGTGAACACACTCCGCAGGCTGCGGGCTGGCCCTGGGCCCGCCCGTCGGCAGCCTCTGGCCGGCAGCGAGCGCCTGAGCCTCCCGTGCCTTGGCCCGCAGCTCTCCTTCTCGGGACTTCTCAACGCAGAAGGGAGGTGAGGCGGACAGGACAGTGTCCCGAAAGATGTCCTTGTCCTAATCCCCGAAACCTGGGGACACGTGGCCTGGGAGAGGGGACATTTTGTGATGAAGTTAAGGATCCTGAGATGGGCAGATGGCCCTGGGTCAGCCTGTGGACCCCATGTCATCACAAGGGCCTCTCCGAGGGAGGCCAGGAAGGCTGGGCTCCGAGGAGGCAGGACGCGGGGAGAAGTCCGAGTGACGGGGATGCTGCTTTGAGGATGGACGGGACCACGAGCCGCGGGACGACGCCAGCCTCGGCGCGGGAGAGCACAGGAGGCGAGTCTCCACGTGAGCTTCCAGAAGGATCGCCGCCCTGCAGACAGCTTGATCTTCGCCCTAAGTCCTGTCTGGGCCTTCTGACCCTGGAACCGTGAGATCAGCTGGGGTGCTCTGCACCCCACTGTGCGTAGTCATCTGTCACAGCAGCGACGAGACGTAGGACAGTACTTTGGACGAGTGTCACAGCACTCCGTTCCTCACACCTACTTCCCAGCCCGGAGTGTGCTCCCGCCTCCCACTGGCTGGATCCTGCATGACCACCTCCTCCGGGAAGCCTTCCGGGCCCGCCGAGCCGAGAGCTCCTCCAGCCCCTGGTGTTGCTCTCCCACGTGTTGACACCAAATCTTCTGGAGCCATGATGCCCGGCCATGTTAAAATCGCTCCAATTACCTAAAAGAAATGAACACTGAAGCCTGGGCCCCACCCCTACCAGTTACCCCAAGGGGTGGAGGCCGGGCAGGGAGTTTTTAAAAGCCCCCAGGTACCTCTCAAGGGCACCCAGGGCCGAGAGCAGCCCTGATGGAGCTTCCTCTGTGTTCCCTCTTCGTGCACATGTGTGGTTTCTGTGTCTCGGCAGGGCCCGGAGCAGGGCCCCACACTCAGTCGGCGTTTATAAATACCTGCCGGCCACCGAGACCGGCACCCCCAACCGCGGGGCCATTCTCCTGATAATTAAGTGACTCGCCTTTTATTCGCCCAGCGCTCGACCAAACCCAATGCTTAGTAACTACTAGTAAATTGAATGGAATTAGGACAGGAAGCGGTGATTTTAAACAAGCCTTTTGTGAATTTCCGAGACATTCTTTCCTGGCCTCACTTGTGCCCATGTTGTTCATTTGCTTCATTCACCCAGCACTGCTCTGGGCCCCCGACCGAGCTGCCCAGGACTGGAGGCGAAGGCTCAGGTCCACCGCTTCACGGAGGGGACAGACGTGGGCCCCAAGAAGAGGGGCGTGCGCCGGGGCTGCACCCGTCCTCACGCTAATGCAAATCACAAGGCCGCTGCTGATTCTTCCCGACAAGTGTGGCCTCCGAGAGGCCCTGCGGGCTACGGAGCCGCGGTTCTCAAAGCTGCGGCCCCCAGACCAGCCGCACGGCCTCACTGGGGACGTGTGAGAGATGCGGACTGTGAGTCAGAAACTCCGGGCATGGGACCTGCAGTCTGTGTTTTCACCAGCTGCCCTGTCGTTCTGGTGCGGCCGAGTGCGGGGACCCTGCCATAAGGCCGCTTCCCAGCCTTGGCCTGTTCACGCCGAGTAGGGAGCTTTCAGAAAGCAGGACTGGCCTGGCCCGTCTGGCTCAGTGGGTAGTGTCTCGGTTCGATTCCCCGTCAAGGGCATGTAGCTGGGGTGCAGGTTCGATCCCTGGGCCTAGTCAGGGTCGTGGGGGAGGCAACCAGTTGATGTGTCTCTCACATCGATGTTTCTCTCTCTCTTCCCCTCCCTCACTCCCTTCCACTCTCTCTAAAAAATCAACGGAAAAAATATTCTCTGATGAACGTTAACAAAAAAACAAAACAAAACAAAACAAAACGCCCAGCTGGTGTGGCTCAGTGGTTGAGTGTCATCCCATGCACCAGGAGGTCGCTGGTTTGATTCCCATTCAGGGAACATGCCCAGGTTGTGGGCTGGATCCCCGTGAGGGTCATGCAGGAGGCGGCCAGTTGATGTTCTCTCTCATTGATGTTGCTATCTCTCTCCCTTCCTCTGTCTCTAAAATCAATAAAGATATATATATATATATATATAAAGGCGTACTCAGATACCACCCTATGTCGATGGAATCAGGACCTCTGTCTGGGAATGGGCCCGGGCATCACAATGTTTCAGCTTCCTGTATGAATTGGAGGGCAGGCCAGGGTGAGTGCATGCCAAACCAGAGCGCCCCGGGCAGGGCCGAGTCACGCAGGGGCACGGGGCAGGCGCTCGGTGTCCGTCTCTGAGCTTCCTCTCCGAGCATGAACTTGGTTTCCACATGCAGCAGACGCTGCCTTTTCATCTAATACGAGCAGAGGAGGCTCGGGAAAGAAACGTCACCGGTGCCCGAACTACCAGCTCTGCGTGTGGGGCAGCGACTCCTGCTCCGTCACACAGGGACGGGGTCCCAGGTGACCCTGAGCAGCCGGCCGCGCCGGGAGCGGCGCTGAGATCTTGGCTCCGCTCTGGGTGTCAGTGACTCCAGGCATCTTTGGGTTCCTTTTCCTTATCTCTGGGTTCGTCTCCTGTTTCCGAACTGGGTCGAGTCCTCCATCACTTGTATGCTTCCCTCATACCATTTATGTTATAATCTCTGCGACTGTAGAGTATGATCTACATGGTAGTTGTGGCAAGTGGCAAGGACACACCCAGCGGGACCGCGAGAACAGCTGCTGCCTGTGGAGCGCTCGCTGTGTCCGGCATCACGGTTCACACTTGACGTGCGTGGTCGCAACTAGCTTCGAGGCGGTCCAGTGCGTGTGTGTTACCGTGCTGCGCCCCTTTTCAAGACGAGGAAACCGAGGATGAGGAATGTGAAGTTATTCACCCAAGGTCACAAAGAAAGTGGCAGACCCAGGGTTTGAACCTAGATCTGTCATCAAAGATCATACTTTTAGCCACGGTCTCCACTGGCTCAGAGTAAGTTGCAGCACTTGTATATCATAACACTTAAAATTACAGAGTACACTATGTTAGGAATATGCTCCTGGATAGTGTTCTATTTATAGATAAAATTATACACAATCTAACAGGCAATTGTATATAATATAAACTCACTAAATGTTATATATGAAACAGTGTTACCATTTAAAGCTACTTTTATACTATCAATTATAGTTTATTGGTATCCTAACCAATGATGTTATTTCAAAAGACCATTCCTGGAATGTTGCATTGAAAATATGTGGCGTCTTTGAAAATACTGAGTGAGTACTAAGACGCAGTGTTAAAGGAAAGGATGCTAAAGGATATAGATATATAGATTACAAATTTTGCAAAAAATGGACACATATATTTTGTATGAATGGAAAGAAATGCCTCAGATTTTTCACAGAATTTATGATTGAATGGTTAAACTGTAAGAGGTTTTGATTTTTTTTCTTAATATTTGTGGCCAGACCAACACTAGGGTGCCCCAGACAGGCTGATACTTGGCCTTGCTTCAAACCGGTGCCCTTTCAATTTTTGTTCTACATCTATTGAATGGACAGGGAGAGACTGGTAATAAATAATTGATCAATAGTGTGTACAAATATAGATTCACTTCCTGATTCATTCCCACAGACCTAAGTAGAGTTCACGTTCTTGGGGAAAAATTATCTCCCAGTTTTTGGTGGCTCTTATTCTCTTTCTTTATAAATTTCCAACACCCATGATTCATTGGGAGACATATTAGTTTAAAATGTGGACACTAAAATAAATTACTCATTTCTACCCCTTTGCCTGGCATAATTCAGGTTTCTGGATTTCAGCTGATGACAACATGCATGGTATAAAAATACTGCACAGACCAGGCTGATGCAGCGAGGAGTTGTGGTGGTGATTTGTTTTTATATTTCTCTCTTTCTTGCATTTTGCCAGTTGCATGATGAGCGCCACAGGGAAACCTGCATTAACCAACACCATGTTTCTATCTGAATCCACACCTCTGCCCAATTCTAGAAAATTTGGGAACTATACAAAGAATGACTTTCCAAATCAGGAAGCAGTTCTCATAGAATGAACGGGGAAGTGTTCTCTTTTCTTCTTTATTTTTCTTTTTGGGGGGTTGGTGGGGAAGAATTTATGGAGCATTGGTATTCTCCTTTAGATATTTGGTAGTCTTCACCAGTGAACCTACCTGATCCTTGGCTATTATTCTTTATGGACATTTTAGAATTACTAATTAAATCTCTTTATTCATTATAGGTCTATTCAGATTTTCTGTTTCTTCTTGGATCAGTTCTGGTCATTTGTTGCTTTCTGCATATTTGTCCATTTTGTCGAAGTTATTTGATTTGTTGGCATATAGTTTTTCATATGCCTTTTTGCTTCTGTAAGGTTGTTTGGCAAACCCGTTCTCATTCCTGATTTTAGTAATATGAGTCTTTTCTCTCTCTGGTGAGTCTGGCTAAAGATTTGTCCATTTTGTTGACCTTTTCAATGAATGGTGGCTTGTTAGGTGTTCATGTAAAAAATTATACCGCACATGCCTGGCTGGTGTGGCTCAGTGGTTGAGCATCGACCCATGCACCAAGAGGTCGCCGGTTCGATTCCCAGTCAGGGCACATGCCCAGGCTGTGGGCCTGATCCCCGGTGGGGGGCATGCAGGAGGCAGCCAGTTGATGTTCTCTCTCATCGATGCTTCTACCTCTCTCTCCCTTTCCCTTCTTCTGTCTCTCTAACATATCAATAAAGAAAAAAAAATTATACCACACCTTCTGTCTGGTTTTGCTCAGTGGTTAGAGCATCAGCTCATGGACCAAGGAGTCACGGGTTCGATTCCGGTCAAAGGCACGTACCTCGGTTGTGGTTGGTCCCTGGCCCTGGTGGGGGTCATGCTGGAGGCAACCGGTCCATGTGTCTCTCTCACATTGATGTTTCTCTCTCTCCCTCCTACCCTCCCACCCTCCCACTCCATCTGAAGATAAATAGAAAAATATCCTCAGGAGAAGACTTAAAAAAAAAAAATGGAAAAGAAAGAAAGGGAAAAGGATTGATGGTGCTATTGATTGCCTTAAGAAACGTACAAGGGCCGGAGGTCTTACATGGGCGCTCCACACGAAATGATTAGCTTATCCAGAGAAACAAATTCCCGAATTCTTGAGGACTCTACCTTTCCAGTGAAACTAACACCTGCTTCCCGAAGCTAGGAGGTCGTCGGTACAGTGTGAGAGACATCGGTGAAGAGGGGGCACACGCCACGCGTCCATGCCAGCGCTGACTGTCACAAACCCGACACCGGAGTAGGGCGGCCGTAGCACGCACCACACACCGGGTGGCTTGAAACAGAAGAAACGTGTTCCCTCACGCCAGCCTGAGATCGGGGGGCAGCGGGGCCACACTCTGCACTCCACCGCGGAGAACTCTTCCTTCCGCCGCCTCTAGCTCCTGGGGGTGACCAGCAGCCGGTCCTCGGCGTGACCGGGTCGCTCCATCCTCTGCCTCCTTCGTCACAGGGCCATATTCTCCCCGTGGGTCTCTTTCCTCTTCTTTAGGTATTTATGGTAAGATTTTTTTAAATGGATTTTTAGAGAGAGAGAGGAAGTAGAGAGGGAGAGAGAGACACCTCGGTTGGCTGCCTCCGGCACAGCCCCTGCTGGGTAACTGGCAACCTTCCGGTGCCCAGAACGGTGCCCAGCCAACAACCTTCCGGTGCCCAGAACGGTGCCCAGCCAACTGAGGCTCTGCGGCCAGGGCAGCTCGGTCCTCGTCGTAGGAGGACACCAGGTGCATTGGACCAAGGTCACCCTACTCCAGCAGGACTCACCTTGACTAATGACATCTGCCATGACCCCGTTTCTACGTAGCATCACATTCTGATTCTGGGGATAACAAATCCCACATATCTTTCTTGGGGGAGACAGTCACCCCAAAACAGACATGTTCTAAACTGACTGTGGACATTTGTCTGTCGTTAACCAGTGTCATCCCAATAAATTGAATAAAAAACGAAAACTAAAAAAAAAACCCCAACAAATTAAAAGAAACATTTATTTGCCTGTTACTCTCGAGTTTTAGAAGTGTATCGGACGTGCCTTTCGGCTTACCGTGGTCTTTGCCTTTTTTTATACCCACCTCCCTAGATTGAAGATATGTTTAATGAAATCAAATTCAGCGAGTACGTGGACAACGGAGAGATCGTTGACAAAATCAACCTAACGGACTTCCTCAAGGTCTACCTGAACCACCGCCCGCCTTTCGGGAACTCCATGAAAGCCATCCAGAGGAGCTTCGACGTTCTGGGCTACACCACCTCGGAGGGACAGAAGGCCATCCGGAGAGAGGATTTCCTGAGACTGCTTCTAACTAAAGGTGAACACATGGACGGGCGACCTCGGCGTGTCCTTCGGCCGTTCCCGGCGGCTTCCGTGTGACAGGACGTCAGCCTGAGGGATGCGCCGTGGGGACCCACAGCCGGCAGGTGCGGGGTAACGGGAAGGGCACCGACCGGGGACAGGAGAACACCAGTTACATTCCCACTTCCTGAAGCCCCACGATCCCATGTCCTGGCTTATGAAGTGGGGATAAAGGGCCGGCCCCGGATCTCCCAGGGCAACCACCAGCCGCGGCTGTGGAATAAACCCGCGGGGAAGCAATGCCTTCCCCTCCCCCCTGCTGTCTTCCTCATTGTCTGACGTGGGGAAGGCAAGGGCTCTCTCTGGGGGTGATGGTTTGTCCCAGCCAGACCGGGGGCTCACCTGTGGGGCCGTCTGAAATAAAGCCCAGGGCGGTCTTGGTCAGAAAGGTCCCCATGTCTCCATGTCGGCCCCAAAGGACGTCCCCTGTGCGGGTCCCATTTCCAACACCATATAAGGAGTGTATGTGACAGTGACATGGGACTCTCCCTCCGGATTGTTTCTGTGTCTCAAGACAAGGAGACTGTGGAATAATCTCTTCCAGCCCTCGCAGTGGTGCTGCTGGGCCCCGACCTCAGGCTCAGTCCCCAGAGCTGACCGGCCTCCCTTTCCTTTCCGATACCCAGGCGAGCACATGACGGAGGAGGAGATGTCCGACTGCTTTGCCACGCTGCTGGGACTGAATCCCGAGGGCTGGAAATCCGAGCCGGCCGCCTCCTCTCTCAAAGGTACGGGCAGGCTCTGCCGGGGCCCGCAGCCGGATCACGCAGCCGGGCCCGCAGCCGGATCCCGCAGCCGGATCCCGCAGCCGGGCCCGCAGCCGGATCCCGCAGCCGGATCCCGCAGCCGGATCCCGCAGCCGGATCACGCAGCCGGGCCCGCAGCCGGATCACGCAGCCGGGCCCGCAGCCGGATCACGCAGCCGGGCCCGCAGCCGGATCACGCAGCCGGGCCCACCCACCTGCGCTGACTTAAGTGGTTTATTCCTCCTGGTGGCGCAGACACTCTCCTTAATGCCCTGCGCACGGCACAGCAAGTCTGCCGGGAACCCGACATGAACGCGTTAGCAAAAGGCCATCGAGCGGTGGTCACGTCTAAGCCTTTGTGCCTGTGTGTGTCCCTCCTTTGTGCCTCTGGCCTGGCTTCTTGCTCCCCTCCACCAGCCTGGCCTTCATCTTCCCGGCTCCGGTGGGTGGTTATTGGCTCCTGGTAGAGGATACAGCTTGGAAGCTGTTTCGAAAGAAGAGGAATTGTCAAGAGGGACTTGGTGAGGAGAGGACAATGACTTGGTAGGAGGCACAAGCCTGATGTCAAGCTGCCAGACTTGAAAGTTGTTTTTTTTTTTTTTTTTGTTTTTATCCTCACCCGAGGACATTTTTCCTTTTTTTTTTTGTTCAGATAGAGTGGGAGGGAGAGAGAGAGAGAAACATCGATGTGAAAGGGACCCATCGAGTGGCTGCCTCCCGCACGACCCAACCAGGGCCGGGGACAAACTGCAACTGCAGTAAATGCCCTTAGCGGGAACCGAACCGGGGTCTCTCTGGACCGCAAGCCGATGCTCTAACCGCTGAGCTAAACTGGCCAGGGCTGAAATTTTTTTTATCCTCACCCGAGGACATTTTTGTATTTATCTTGAGATAGAGCAGGAGGGAGAGTGGGAGGAAGAGAGAGAGAGAAACATCGGTGTGAGAGAGAGACATCGAGTAGTTGCCACCCACATGACCCCAACCAGGGCTGGGGACAAACTACAACCGAGGTACATGCCTTTAGCAGGAACCGAACCTGGGACTCTCTGGTCCGTGGGCTGACGCTCTAACCGCTGAGCCAAACCGGCCAGGGCCAGACTTGAAAGTTTTTAAGATCATCCCTCTCTCCTTTCCTGGGGATTTCCTACCTCCTTCTAGTCCCCTGGAGGGAGGACAGTGGCCCTGAAGTTTGGGTTGCACATTCAAGCTCAGGAGGAACCAATCCAGACCTTTCTCCCGGGCCTGCCGGTGTGCAAATAACTCCAGTGACAAGCCCAGGAGGCTGGGCCTGTGACCCCGTGCTGGTCAGAGCCACCACTGTGACTTCAGCTGGAGTCAGGAGCAAAGATTCCTCACCGGGCTTCCTTCGGCCTCCTCTTGTATTGTCTGTCCCCCGCTGCAAATGAGACAGCTCCCGAGCTTGTTTCTAGACTCCGGTGTCTGATCGGTCACCGCCAGCCTGCACACCCCCGCCCCACCCCATTCCGTGTGTACTTGGGGGTCTCAAAATGTAACTTTCCCCGTCGTTATGTATGTATGTCGTGTTCCTGAGAGTCTTTAAACAGTCAAATCAGCAATACCATATAATTAAGGCTTCCCAGTAGGGTTTGCAGAGATTCGGGTAACAGGTGACCCAAACCATAACGGAAGGGTTTGAACCCGTTTCCCCACCCCGGGTAGCCCCAGGAACCCAAACCACAGCACACAGCACCTCTCACTCACTGGTATCGTTTCCTTGTACTTTTGGAAAATGCGTCTGAGTTAGAAGCCTCCGCATTATGAAGACATTTGTTTTCTCTTCCCTGGCTAGGTTCAGAGATGTGCTTTGAAGAAGAACTTCCAGACGAGATCACTGCAGAAATATTCGTGACTGAAATTCTTGGCTTAACCATTTCCCCCGACTTCAGACGAGATCCTACGGTCACCGTCAGCGAGGCTGTGCGGAATGTCTGAAGCACAAAGGACTTTGTGTGTGGGGAGTCCCCCCCCCCCCGCCCAGGCAGTACTTCCCCTACCCCCACTGTAATCTGTAGAATGTTCCGGCATTAAAAGCAAATTTCTGTTAAGCAATGGAATTCCCGAAGTCGCACGTTCCACTGTTTCTGAAACAGACAAGTGGGTGGAGGTAAGATAAGCAGGCAGGGCCGCCTGCAGCAGGGTTTGACCAGCATGTAGGTGGTGTGGTCCCCGGGGGCGGGGAGGGCCTCAGCCCGAAGCAGGCCTTCCTAGTGACGCGGGGGACAGTATGCCCTGCCCCTCAGAGGCCCCTGGACCCTTGTCCTGGTGTGGCCTACTGCGGATCGGATCACCCCTGCCTGCTGTTAGGCTGGGGTGGGGGTGCTAGGATCTCTGGGCTCCTGGGAGTCGCTTGCTTACGGCTTCTAATCAGCAAAACACCCCAGCAGTTGTGTGCGGCCGTTGAGAGCATCACCGGTCATGCTTAACCCCGGTGGCAACTGTCAGAGAGAATGCAGAAGGCACCAGAGCCCTGTGTGTGCTGCACCTGGACCAGGAACCACAAGGCCCGCCCTCGGGCTGGGGCCTCCCCACCCCCACCTCACACAGCAGACACCCACAAGTGGATCCGCTGCCTGGCCCGCCCGGCTTCAAAACTCGCGCGGCGCACACCGGGCCGGTTCAGGGCGTGCGGGGAGCATCTCTGAGTTTTCAGCAGTGCTTTGACCTTACAGATAAAGTGCCGTGATCCCATAAACAGGCCAAAGTGAGGGTCTGACTTTAGGGTCTGCCCTCAGCCCCGAGGCCTCCTTGTTCAGGCAGATGTGCCCAGTGCTGTTCTCCACGCATGCTCAGTCCTAACACCTGCCCACCCACACCAGGTCCTTCCCAGAGGGACTGGCATTTCGGGTGACATTTCTGACCCCCGCCTCGGGCCTCTGTGCCGAGAAGCCGGGTCTGTGTGAGAGAAGCAATAGCAGCCGCCATGGGGTGCAGGGAGCCTTCCCTGCTGCGTGGCGCCCCTGGAAAACGCGTGGGGAGCCCGTGGAGCACGCTGGGACACGGACCGGAACCGTCTGCCCCGAACCAGACTGGGTCACTGCGACCTCGGCACAGCCGGCGTGGGCTGTGGTCCCACGGGTGCCGACCATATTGTGTCACCAGCGCTAATTTACATTTTTTTCTAAAAAAAAAAACAAACACCCAAAGAAAAACAAGCCCTCTGAATCCATTTTGCAGCTGCTGAGGGCTTCAGAGACATGTTACCAAGCCAGTTACAAAGTTCCTGGGGACATTTAGGGAACAGGAAACCTTCAAATGACTTTTTCTCTTAAAAAAAAAAAGCCCTGGCCGGTTTGACTCAGCGGTGACAGTGTCAGCCCAAGGACCAAGGAGTCGCGGGTTCGATTCCCACCAAGGGCACGCACCTCAGTTGCGGTTTGTCCCCAGCCCTGGTCAGAGTCTTGTGGGAGGCAACCAGTTGATGTGTCCCTTTCACATTGATGTTTCTCTCTTTACTTCCCACTGGATCTAAACAAAAATGGAAAAATACCCTCAGGATTAAAATAAAAATAATAACTCGGACTGGATGCAGTCTGAACACCAACCAGAGGCTTCTCTCATTGACCCTGGCGCATTCTGATTTTGTCTTTATCGACTACATGCATTGGGGTAATTGCCTTCAGCGGAACTGACCGGAGACCAGCGGGACCCACTGACACTGGACCGCCGCAAGCGCACGCTGGGACGCCCCTCCGCCCTGAGCCAGCTTCCTGCGTCTCTAAGTCAGTGTTCGGTCCTCGCCAAGGGCAGCAAGATCCACGTCAGGGACTTCCCGCTCCGCCCAGGGGGCCCCTTGTCACCTTACGGACCCCTTTCTGCCGGTGCTTTTGTCTGGGTGTCTCTCAAGTGGTTTGGCCGGCACAGGGAGCTGCAGTGAGCACGGTACAGGCCCGGGAGGGCCTCTCCGCCTCCCCTCGCCGGGCAGGCCCAGCCCGCTGGCCACGCAGGTAGCTGGAAGGAAGGACATGCATCCAAGGGCGACCTCCCTGCCAAGTAAGCAGAGAACTCAGACTCTCCAACAGTGTGGGTGGCAGAGCAGAGATGCCAGGAAGGGAGGAAGGAGACTGAAGACAGAATTGTGGGACTTGAACATTGAGCCTTCGGGACAAACCCTGAACACCAAGGGGCACATGGTGATGTGTGTTTGAAAAGAGAAGACTGTTTCAGATGGGGTCTCTGGCTACTGCACCCCTCCCGGCTTGTCACTTGCAGAGTTCGGGGGCATGTAGAATAGCAGTGGTCTTCCAGGCCCCACCAAGGGCATCCCCCAAACCCCACCCCAGACCCCCCGGCCCCTCCCATGCATGTTTCAGCTCCGGAAGCCCACCGGCTGGGCTGGCTGGGTTTTCTGCTTCTGCTGTTATTAAACTCCTGGGTGCCCTTGGGTGCAGCTAATCTCTTAAACCTCAGTTTCCTCTTGGAGCAACTGACTCCTGGGGTGGTTGTGAGGATTAAAAGAGATGGTGCGATTGAAGAGTTAGTTACTGGCAGGAGGCAGCGCTCAAAATAGGACAGCAGCTATTATTATTACAGGCAGACACTGTGCCTGAGACTTGGGGAGACGTCTGATGAGCATTAACCCCGCCTCATCCCAGACTTTCAGCACCAGTTAGCACTCTCTGCTGGTTTTGACAATGGGCCCTCAATAAATATTTGTGGGATGATTGAATGAATGAACTTGAAGCTTCAGTGGCCTTTTAATAGCTGCCTTAGCTTTTGAACACAAGTGAATGCCAGTCCTCACGGGCCCGCTCTATCAGGGTCGGCAGGCGTCCCGCAGAGGGCCGGAGAGTCGAGGCCGGGCTCCGTCTCGGCTCCTGAACGGGGCCGGCGGCAAAGCAGCCGCAGACCCCAGGAGAGAATGTCTGTGGCCTCCTCCCCATCAGATTTCGTTGCGGATGCTGAAATTTGGATTTCATGATAATCCCCACATATCACGAAACCGTCTTCTTCTTTTAATTATTTCAACCATTTAAAAATGCGGAAAGCGCCCTGGCTGGTTTGGCTCAGTGGTTATAGTGTTGGCCTGTGGACCAAAGGGTCATGGGTTCAATTCCGGTCGAGGACACGTGCCTTGGTTGCATTTTGATCCCTGGCCCTGGTCAGGGTCATGTGGGAGGACACCAGTCGATGTGTCTCACACACACTGATGTTCCTCTCTCTCGCTCCGCCCCCACCCCCACTCTAAAAATCAATGGAAAAATACCCTTGGGTGAGGATTAAAAAAACAAAATGCGGAACCCTTTCTGAGCTCATGGCCTGCACAGAAACAGCGTCCCGACGCGCCTGCAGGCGGGAGCGTGCTCTACCGCACAGGCAGGATTACTCTTCCAACGAAGTACCTGACCAGCGCTCTTCAAAAATGTCAAGGTCGTGACCAACAAGAAAAGACAGAAACTGTCACCGACTGGAGCAGAGTTACAGGACACAGTGATGAAATGCAAAGTGGGAACCAGGGTTTCTGGAGGAACTGATGAAGTCACCGTGAAGTCTGTAGTCTAGTTCATGGCGTAGTTCAGTTAACATCTAAGTTTCCATCACGGTGTCATGGTTACATAAGATGTGCACACGAGCCCTGGCTGGTTTGGCTCAGCGGTTAGAGCGTCGGCCCAGGGACTGGAGAGTCCCAGGTTCGGTTCCCACTAAGGGCATGTACCTCGGTTGCAGTTTGTCCCCGGCCCCGGTTGGGGTTGGATGAGTGGCAACCACTTGATGTGTCTCTCTCACATCGATGTTTCTCTCTCTCTTCCTTCCTCTCTCCCTCCTGCTCTATCTGAAGATAAAATGCAAAAATGTCCTCAGGTGAGGATAAAAAAGAAAAAAGATGTGGACAGGAGGGAAGCTGGCTATTGATGGGTCTGCAGGAACTCTCTTGGTTCTGCCTTTACAATTCTCCTGTAAATCTAAAATTATTTCAAAATTTAAAAAGAAAGAAAGAAACAAATCCGGCCCTGGCCAGGTAGCTCAGTCGGTTATAGCATTGTCCTGATATGTATGCCAAGGTTGCGGGTTCAATCCCTGGTCAAGGCACATACAAGAATCAGGCAATGGCCCTGGCCGGTATGACTCAGCGGTTGGAGCGCAGACCAGAGAGTCTTGGGTTCGATTCCAGTCAAGGGCACGTACCTTGCTTGCATTTCAGTCCCTGGCCCTGGTCGAGGTTATGCAGGAGGCAACCAGTTGATGTGTCTCTCTCATGTAGATGATTCTCTCCTTTCTACTCTATCTGAAAATAAATGGAAAAAAATATCCTCAGGTGAGGATTAAAAAAAAAAAAAAGCAAAAAAAAAAAAAATCAGGCAGTGAATACATAAATGAGCGGAACACAAATTGATGTGTCTCTCTCACTCCCCCCCCTTGCTCTCTCTCTCAAATCAATAAATCAATAAAAAATAATAATCTGTACCACCTTTCTGACTCAGTCACCCCCGAATTATTTCCATGATCTGCCCCCCACCTCTCAGTTCTCAAGCGAATGCTCCTGGGGCCGGTCACGGCTGGCTGCTCCCGGGCACCTCACTTGCTGTCTGTCCTCTGCAGACACCTCGGGCAATGCAGATGGGCCTCACTTTAAAGGTCTGTGTCCTTAAGCCATGGCTGTGCTTACACACTGGTGTTTTCAGCCTGAGCATGTTCCTCAGAGGTCTGGCCAGCATTTCCCTGCGGGCAGTGGACGGTAATAAATAGATACCCAGCCAGTTGCTACCCGGCTCGTGCGTCATATAACTACCCTCTGCTAGTTTAGCTTCAAGGAATATTAAACAACAACAACAACAACAACAAACCCAGGTTGATGCAACATTCTTTTTTTTTTTTTTTTTAATCCTCACCCGAGGATATTTTTCCATTTTTTGTACAGATAGAGTGGGAGGGAGAGAGAGGAAGAGAGAGAGAGAGAAACATCGACGTGAAGGGACACATCGAGTGGTTGCCAC